CTGCGCTGCCGGCGGTGGCTCACGGGTGGGGCACGCCCGCTGCGGCCGCACCCCGCCGCGGCCGCACCCGCACGACGACGCCTGCCGCCCAACCCCGCCGCCTCGGCCGCCCGCCGCGCAGCCGGCTGCTGCCTGCCCGGCCGGGGACCGCCGCTGCGCTGACCAGCGTCGCTCGACGCCGCGGCGCGGCGCTGCCCCCCCCCCCCACCTGCCTCCCTGCCTCCTGCCCGGCCCGCCCGCAGACCCGGCCTGGCGGGTGCGGCTGTGTGAGGCGCTGGCGGCGCAGGGCATCTGTCTGGTGTCTGCAGATGAGCTGGAGCACGAGACGGCGCAGCGGGACCGCGAGCAGACGGGGCTGCCGCCCGGTGCGTGCCGGCCCCACCAGGGCCACCCTCCCCGCCCCTCGCGCCGCCACCACGCTGCGCTGCTCTCGCCGGCGGGGCATGGCCTGGCCGGGGCCCGCCACGTGCCACCTCCCTGCGCCGACTACGTCCGCCGCCGCGCCGCTTTTTGTTTCTTGTCGGTGTGTGTCGCGCAGGCGCGGTCCGCCGCGTGCTGCCCATTGCTGTGGAAGTGACGGCGCCTGACTGGCATGTGGTGCGAGTGCACCGCCGGCACGGCACCGCGGAGAGGCAAGCGCGGCGCGGGGCGGGGCGGGGAGAGGGTTGCGGGCGCCCGCCGCAGCTTGTTTTGCATTCTTGAGTGCGGCCGCGGGGGTGCCGCTTGCGGGGGGGTGATCTGTGCCCTCATGCGATTGGCATGCCCGCTCCCTGCTGCTCATCAGCAGGCTGCTGCCTCCGGACGAAATTGAGGCCTGGGCGGGGCGGCTGGCGGGGCGGCTGGCGCCGCGGCTGCGGGGGCCCATTGCTTTCCTGTGGGGCACAGACTTTGAGGATGCGCCGGTGGTGAACGCCAGGCAAGAAAGCGGGGCCCGAGAGCTCGGGGCTAGGCTTTGCTGCTGGGAGGTGGGGCGAACGCAGGCAGCGTGCGGCGGCGAGCTGCCGTGGATGCTGGCCGATGCGAGCTCGGCTGCTGGCTGCAGGAACCTGGACCGGGCGCTGCCTCGCGAGCTGCGCTTGGACTGGCCGCAGCACTGCAAGGGAGCGGCGCCGCGCCCCGGCACGCTGCAGGCCTTCTTTGCTCGGAGGCAGGTGCCACCGGCGGCGGCGGCAGCAGCAGACGTGGCAGCAGCGGCAGCGGGGGGAGTGGCGGCAGCAGCAGGAGCGGCAGCGGGCAAGACACCCGCCGGCAGGAAAAACAGCAGCTAGCGCCCAGCCAGCGGCGCCCGTCAGCGGCCAGAAGCGGGGGGGCGAGGGTGCAGCAGGCGGCACAGGCAGCGGGCGAGGGGGCAGGAGCGGCGGAATCCTGCGCTTCCTGCGGCGGCCCAATGCCACATGACGATGATGCCCCGCCAGCCAGCGCTAGTGTTACAGTGGCGGGAGAGGGAAGCGAGAGCAGCGGGAGGGAAGGGGAAGGGGGTGGTACAGGATACAAGGGCAGGCAGAGGCAACACAGAGGGGCAATAAAGAAACATGCAGGATGCGAACTAGGCGGGATGGATGGGTGCAGGGTGCAGCCGCACGAAGTGGCGCTGCACATGCGTTGCTGTGCATGGAGAGAAACTGGGCGCATCAGCATCAGCTGGGGGATGTCTGACGTCCCAGCCGGCGTGCGTCGGCATGCCGGGTGGGCAACACTACAAAACTGGGGCGGCGGCGGCGTGGGGCTGTGGCGCTGGCTGGGGGTGACCGGCAGGCAGCGGCCCACGCATGGGCGACGCGCGGCGGGGCAGCGGGGCCTACTCCAGCTCGCTCTCCGTCTCGCTGCCCTCGGTGCTGTCGGACTGCACCAGGTGGCTGCGAGGCCCGCCCCGCGGAGACGACGCCGCAGAGTCGGTGGCAAAGCTGGGCAGCTGCGGCGGCCTGGCGGCGGCGTCGGCGGCGGCATCGGCGGCGCCGATGGCACCGGCGGCGGGCTGCGCTGCATCTGGGGCGTCTGCCGGCACGATCTCCGATTCCACGCCGCCGCCGGCGGCCCTGCAGGCGGATGGGGAGGTAGGTGGCAGGTTGGCAAACCACGGCTGCAGCACTAGCAGCCAGCGGCAGCGCACTGCGGTCGTGCAGCAGCCCCGCCGGCACCTGGCAGGGAAGAAGGCGGGGAAGTTGGCGAGCGTGGCGGCAGACTCTGGCTGGTGCTGGTGCTGGTGCTGCTGCCGCTGCTGCTGCTGGCCCGCCGGCGCCGGGATGGGCGAGGGCGAGCTGGTCCTGCTGCCGTCCAGCAGCTGCTGCCGCTGCTCCGCCACCTCGCCAGCGCCCGCGGCGACGCCCGCTGCCCCGCCGCCCTCTGCTGCAGGCACGCCCAGGAACTGGGCGCGCAGCGCGGCCCAGCCGGTGCCCAGCCGTCCCAGCAGGAAGGTGGCGGCGCCGGAGCGGCGGCGCCGCCGCCGCCGCGACCGCTGCGGCAGCCGCCCTGCCTCCAGGTCGGCGCCCGGCCCCGGCCCGGGACCCCCGCCGCCCTCCTCCTCGCCCTCGCTCTCCAGCAGGCTGCCTGCGGCGGCGTGGGCGTCGGCCTTGCACACGGGGCACACCGGGCGGCGGCTGCTGAGCCACTGGTCTATACAGCAGGAGTGGTAGCGGTGCTGGCAGGGCAGCACGCGCAGCTTGTCGCCGTGGCTGTAGTTCTCGAGGCAGATGGCGCAGACGCGGCGCGTGCCGCCGCCGCGCCGCCCAGAGTCGCTGCCGCTGTCGCTGCCGCCGGCTGCGGGGCGGGCAGCGGGCGGGGGCGGGGATGTCGGGCCAGGGGCAAGATCCAGCAAGCAAGATGACAGCAAGGAGCATGCGCGGCCGCTCCACGGCACCCCAACGACTGCTTCGCGGTCAACCCAGGCTTACCCAGCTGCTGCCGCTGCTCCTGCCCCTCCTCCGCCTCCTCCAGCTCCCCGCCGGGCGCAGGCGCGCGGCCGCTGCCGCTGCCGTCGCCCGCGCCGGCGCTTCCTGCGGCCGTGGCTGGCTCCTCGTACACCACCACAGGCAGCGTCCGGATCTCCGAGGCAGTCATGCCCTGGCGAGGCTGCGGCCGCATGCCCGGCCCGCCGCCTGCAGGCAGGCAGGCAGGCAGGCAGGTAAGCAGGTGACACATGCGTTGGTACCAACCCATCCGCCGCCCCAGACATGTCCCTGCCCCGCGCCTGCTCGCACCAACTCCTCCCCGCCAGCCCCGGCACCACCACCGCCAACACGCGACACACGCGCAGCCACAAGCACAGGCCGCCGCAGGCTGCTCCCGAGTGTCAGGGAGCCCCAGCGGGCGCACCCCGCCGGGCCACACCTGCCACAATGCCGCCGTGCTGCCGCCGGATGATCCACAGCGCCCCCAGCACGACGTTCACCGCCAGGAAGCCGGCGGCCGCCGACATGACCATGCTCAGCCACAGCGCCTCGCTGAGGGGCGTCAGGGTGACGACCTGTGGTGAGGTAGGCAGACGGGCAGGTGGGCAGGCAGGCAGGCAGGTGTGCAGGCAGGGAAGCACGGGAGCTCTGGAATGCTGTGGAGAAGCAGAAACGGCAGCGGCCTGGCGGCCACGCAGAGGCCACGCAGCGGCAGGGAGGAGCAGGGAGCGGGCAGGAGGCGGCAGAAGCCCGCCGCGCGCGCCGGCCAGCCCCCGGCCGATCTCGCGGCATCGTGCGCCTGGCGGCCGGCGCCGAGAGCCTGCCGCTGCCGCCCACCGTGCTACCATCCACCATGAGCCGCTTCATGAGGATGCCGCTCTTCTGGGTGACAAAGGCGGAGGGGATGAAAGGGTCGGGGTGCCTTGGGTCCTGCGGGGTGGAACGGGAAGGGCACAGGCGGGGGAGGTGTCAGGGTGGTGGGCGGGGCAGCCAGGGGCCTCACAAGGGAGAGCCGCGCATGCGGCTCCGGCACCCTGTCTGTCTGTCTGCCTGTCTGTTAAACTCATAAGGAGCAAGTGAATGCTACGGGCCCAGCTGCGGTGCCAGACAGCCGGGAAAAGGGAACCCACCAGGCAGCGCCAAGCCGCCACCATCGCCACCACAAGGGGGACCCACCTTTGCCATGAGGATGAGCGGCTCAAAGACGTCGTCGTAGATGACGGCGGCAACCGCGCCCGCCGCCTCGGCATGCGCCACCTGCACCCACGCGGCAGGTGGCGGTGGTGTGCGGGCGGAGGCATGCTGCCGAGGCATCCCACCAGGAGCCTGCTCGCGGGTGCCGCACAGCCAAACCACCCACCCCACCTTCTGGTACCCTCCCACGCAAACAAGCTCGCCTTGATGTCAAAGGTGCAGCCGTCCTTCTGCTGGCTGCGGGCGATGAGCGCCACCCAGGGCGCCCCCGCCTTCTCCGGCGGCGTCAGCTCGCTGCACGCGTCTTCGGGCTGCGCCACCAGCAGCAGCCCCGACACGCCCTCGGCGGGGATGGGCGGCCCAAAGTCTGCCGGCAGCGAGGGGAACTCCAGGCTGAAGTTGCCGGTCTGCACATTGAAGGAGGGGAGGGGCTCCGAGGGCTGCTGAAGACGCCCGGGTGGAGACGACGAGAGGCGGGTTGAGCGGCGCCTGGCGGCCCCCGCCAGAGCCCCCGCGCGGCAGCAGCCGTGCTGTGGCACTCGCAGGGCGGTATTGCGAGCCCAGGGGACAGCATAGGCAGCTGGGGCGGGTGGGCAGAGCGCGGCGCCAAGCCGAGGCTTTCGGGCGCTGCCAGGAGTCGCGGCACAATGTCCGGGAAACTCACCTGCATCACCACCATCGCTGAACAGCTAGGGAGCAGCAGGCTGCAGGCCAGGAGCACCCCTGCCGCCAGCAGCCCACAACCGAGCCGCTTCATGCTGGGAAAGGTCCTGCGCAATTGTGGGATGCCATAGCAATGCCAGGGGCGTTTCGAGGGCTTGGATTCTGGAGCAGAAGGGTTTCGACCGCCACGTTGGATGTGGCCACCTCGGGTATGCTGGAACAGTCGCTCATGGCCTCCCTTGACGCTGTAATTGACACCATCAGTCGACGGGCACTCATCTGAGTGCAGAAAATACCCTACCCATCGTTGCCGCAACGCTGAGAAGAAGACACTCCCCACACCCACTTCAGCCCACAACAGCGACCGGACACCCCATTGCAGAGTTGTGACTTCCTCTCTCTGCAAAACGCTACCGGCCACTAGGCTTCCCCGGCATGTGGCTATCCGCTTGCTCTGCGCTCCGCTGCCATAGGGTGAGGCCAACGCAAAATTTCCCTCGCTGCCTCATGATCATGAGACACTTGGCCGTGGGGCCGCAGCGCGCTGGAACCTGAAGGGTACTGTGGGAGCGGCGGCGTGAGCGGTGTCGGTCGGCGCGCCTTAGAAGCTTTGTGTGGCACGCCCAGCCTCACAACACAGGCCAGCCAGAGCCGTGACCACATGACCATGCCATGTGCCTGCCCTGTCGCAGCTCTAACCACGCCCCCGTCTGCCATGGTCTGCCCTACCACCAGAGCGGCACGCCTGCCTCCGTCCTTGCTGGCGGCGGCGCTGCTGCTGCTGGCGCTGCCTGGCTGCACCGTGGATGCTCAGGAACCTGGTGAGTGATTGCCCTGATGTGCCGCTGCAGTGCGCCGGGCGCCGCTTCTGCAACATCAAAAGCAGCGTGCACGTCCCGCCCGCCTCTTATCAAGTGCAGCGCTGCATGCCCCCGCATGCATCTCCCTCTGCGCAACTCATGCTGCCGGCACCTGGCTTCCTTCTCCTGCCACCCTCTGCAGGCGCCTGCCCCGAGGGCTTCACGGGCGCCGGCTGCGTGCTGTGCCAGAGCCACGACGCCTGCGCCGCGCGCACCGGCCACCCCGACGCCATGTGCTCATCCACCCTCGCCTTTGACGGCAGGACGCGCACCAAGTTTTACAACGGCACCGTAGCCCCCGCCAGCGCTTTTTACGAGCTGCTGGACCCCGCCAGCCTGGTCCTGCAGTGCAGCACCGCGCTGGTGGCGGGCCAGGCGCTGCCCAGCCGGGACGACGGCATCATCGGCTGGCAGTGGCGGCGGCGCCGCCGCGGGCTGGCCCAGGCGGAGGCGGCCAGCCTGGCGGGCCCCTCCTGCTCCCTGGCCTTTGCCCTCGCCAGCCAGCCCGTACGGGTGGAGTGCGTGGCGGTGGGCTGCACATTCATCACGGGCCAACCCAGCTTCACCTGCGCCACATCCTTCTGCTCCTGCCCAGATGACGACGCCTGCGGCGGCACGCGTGAGCTGCTGCCGGGCCGTGCCTGTGCCGCCTGCTCCCCTGCTGCCGCCCTCCTCGCGCGTGGCAGTGAGCCCCAGCTCCGCTGCCGACCCCCCGATGCCGAGCCCCCTCCCCTGCCTGCAGCGGAGGTGGGCGCGCTGGTGTCTGGCATGAGCGGCCAGTTCAACCTGACCTGCAGCGAGGCGGGGGAGTGCCACCTGCGGTTTGGCGGCCTGCTCGATTCCTTCATCGACGCCGCCCTGGGGGCACGCGAGTGCCTGCTGCCAGAAGACATGATGGGTGCGCTGCTGCTGCAGTACACACATGCCTGCTGCAGTACGCACATGCCTGCTGCATGCTGCGCCTGCTCCGCTCGCCGCTAGGCCTGCTGCCTGCGCGCCCCTGCATGGCAGGCGCCGTCGCCAAGCCGCTGCCAGACTGCTAGTGCCCTCCCCGGGGGGCCGCATGTGCCTGCGGCCATCTGCTGATGCTTGTGCCCGCACCTGGCCGCCCCGCCACCCCAGCAGGCTCCTCCTCCACTGCTTGCGCCGAGGGCTGGGAGGGTAGCCAGTGCGCGGTGTGCGCCTCGGACGCGGCATGCGCGGCGCGGTACGGGCAGGACACCCGGTGCAGCTGGAGCCCCGTGTTTGAGGGCACCTCCTTCTTCAAGTCCTATAGCTGCCAGCTGGGCGGGGACACCGCGGCGGAGCAACTGCTGGGCCTGCGCAGCGTGCTGGTGCAGTGCAGCACGGGCCTGGTGGCGGCGGGCGTGCCGGCCGCCGCCCCCGGCTGCGCCCTCTACTTTGCCGGCGCCTCGGCCCAGGTGGAGCTCTTCTGCGCGGCTGTGGGCTGCCTGTTTGTGGCGGGCGAGTCAACGCTGCAGTGCAGCACCACGCTGTGCATGTGCCCGCCCGGCTCCTCCTGCGACGGCGACGGTGAGAGCGGGCGGGCGGCGGCGGGGCTTCTGCTGCGGCGGCACCTGGCGCACCCGGCGCGCCCCGCGGCGCGTCACCTGCCTGCTTTGCGCCGCCGTCAGCCGGGCGGGCGCGCACCCGTGCCGGGCGTGTGGGCCCGCCTGGCCCGCCTCCCTCTTGCCACGCCACAGCCGTCCTTCCGTCAACTGCCTGCCCGCCTGCCCGCCTGCCCGTGTCGTTGCCGCAGAGGTCATCGCCGACCTGGTGCGCCGCGCCAACGGCCGCCCCTTCAGCCTCGACTGCTCCGCGGCGGGCAGCTGCTCCATCGTGGTGGAAGGGCTGCCCGGCTCCACCACCGAGGCCACGTGCCGGGCGTCCGAGTGCGTGGGGCCGCCGCCGCCGCCGCCGCCGCCCTCGTCGCCGGCGCCGCCCTGGCCGCCGGCGCCGCCCTACGCTCCCGAGCCAGGTCAGTGCCTGAAGCCCAGGGTGCCAGGGGTGCCACGACTGACTCCCGGCCCGCTGGCAGCCTGCTTGCCTTGGAGCGGTGTGTCGCACACACATGTGCTGGGACCAGGTGGGTGGCGCCGGTGCTGGTGTGGCTGGCAACCATGCGCCTGTGCCTGCTGCCGCTGCAGGCCTGGCTCCCGAGGTCGCCCCGGGGCAGCAGCCGGCACCGCCAGGTGAGCCGGCGCCGTCGTCGCCGCCGCCGTCGCCGGCCGCCGAGCAGCCGCCGTCGCCGCCGCCCAAGAAGACCGGCATCCCCTGCCCCACCGGCTGGGGCGGCAACCAGTGCGCCATCTGCCAATCCGACGCCGCCTGCACGGGGCAGGAGGGCGGCGGCACGGGCGACACCGGCGCCACCTGCAGCGCCAGCCTGACCTACGCTCCCGCCTCGCGCCTCAAGTCCCTGAGCTGCGACCTGGCCCAGGGCAGCCCGCTGGCAGACCTGGTTGAGCCAGGCACCCTGCTGGTGCAGTGCCGCACGGGCGCGCCCGGCGGCGGCGCGGCGGCGCCCGCCGGCGCGGCGGCCGCTGCGGTGGGCGCGCCGCAGGCGGGCCCCGGCCAAGGCGGCGCCGCCGCCGCGCTGGATTATGCGTCTGCGGATGCCGCCACGCGGCGGCGGCGCCGCCACCGCCGCCGCCTGCTGCTGCTGGAGCCGGCCGGTGGGCGCATGTGCGACGTCAGCTTCTTCACCAGCAGCCCGCGCGTCATGGTGCAGTGCGCCGCCACCGATTGCACCATGGAAGCGGGCTCGGCCGCCGTGACGTGCGCCGCCGTCGCCTGCACCTGCCCAGACACGCCCGGGTGCAGCAGCTGTGAGTGTGTGTGTGTGTGTGTAGTGGTGGTAGTGAGGGAACCAGCTGCTTGGTTGTGTGTGGTGCTCACTGCCTGGCTGGCTGTGGGCCTGTGGGGCTGCGCCCAGCTCGCCCTTCGCTCGGGGTGCCGGCCCTGGCACCCAGCCTGCGCCCAAGGCTGACGCCTCCACCTGGCCAGCCTTCCGCCATCTCTCACACCTGCCCGCTGCCCCTCCCTCCCTCCCTCCCTCACTCACTCACTCACTCACTCACTCACTGCCTGCTGCCTCCCTCTCAGTCGCCATTGAGGGCTTGATCCAGCCCGTGGCGGGGCCCTTTGAGCTGAGCTGCGACGAGGCAGGGAGGTGCAGCATGGCGCTGGGGGGCCTGCCGGAGCCGCAGCTGGATGCCGTGTGCTCGGCGGGGGAGTGCCTGGTGGAGGGGGAGACCAACCTGCCGCAGCAGGCAGGCTACTGACGGAGCCCCCGTGGCGCACGCCCCGGGGGAAATACTTGACCGACGGCCGACACGGGCCCACACTCATAGCGGTGCTGTTGCAATTAATGCTGGACAGACACATCGGGAGCATGGGATAGATATTCCCTCCGTGCTGCAATGGTTTTCAAAGAATGAATTGATTAATATCTTTCGTTGGCTCTGATCTGACCAGGCCTCCGCTCGTTTTCTGTTCTGTTGGCACATCCGCCCCCTCTGCTGACCGCGCCGCTTGCGCCCTGCAGCCGGCGATGTTGTTTCCAACCAGGTTGCTGCTGCCTTTCCTTCTCATCACTGACAAATTGGTCCATGTGACATGTAGCTTTGGTACTGCCTGAAATGTAAGAAAGAAAGAATACAAAGCCGAAGGAAAGCCGGGGAAGAAAATCAAGCATGAAATCAGATCTGTCCTTGTGCACTTGCACTGATGCATTCTCTGGCAGGCGCTGTGCGGAGGGCCGTGGGGAGCTGCGCTCCCCCCACACCACCCCCCGACGGCCGCCTGCCTCCCTCCTTGCCTTGCGTGACGCCCCTCACTCCTGCAGGGAGTCGCGCAGCTTGTGGAACCCCTTCTGCGCCTTGCTGGCCAGCTTGGCCGCCCACTTGGGCGTGGGCAGCGCGCCGCGGCTGCCACCGCCGGCCCCGCCGCCGGCCTGCTGCTGCCCCGGCGGCGCGGAAGCTGCTGGGTCCGGCCTGCCGGCCTCAGACCCAGCAGAGGCAGCCGGCTCCAGGTTTGGCAACGTCGCGCTGCTGAACGCGGCCGTGCTGCCAAAGGCGCCCGACGCCAGCGGGGCAGGGGGCGCCAGCCCGGCCGCCAGAGGCCCCGGGAACACCTCCCCCGCCCCGGCCACGTCCTCGGAAGCACGCCGCGGCGTGGTGCCGCCGCTCGCGGCTGCCGACCGGGCGGCAGGCGAGGCGCCGGGCGAGCCTGCCACCCCCAGCGATGCAGCGCCCGGGCTGCCTCCAGATGCCTCCGCTGCAGGCGCATCCGCCACGCTGGCGCCGCCGGTGACACCCGGGGGCAGCGGCGGCGCGGCTGGCGCGTGCGGGGCCTGCGCCGCGCCCGGCGTGGCGGGCAGCATGTGGCCAAACAGCATGCGCCGCTTGTGCTGCGCCCGCAGGTCTTCACCCGACAGCACCGCCTCGCCGCCCGCAACGCCCGCCCCCTCCTTGCGTCCCTTGCCCAGCGCTTGCAGCTGCAGGGGTGGTGGCTGAGGAGCAGCGCAGGTGAGTTCAGCAGGCCTGGGCGACAACACGCACACTGGTGCCAGGCATGAGGAGGGCCGCCCGCCTGGCAGAGCCCGGCAGCCAGGGAGACGGGAAGGGCAGGCAGGGCAGAGGTGCGGAAGCAGCGGCTGCTTCCCACCGCCCCATTCGTGAACCTGCCCACCCACCTGTGCCAGCAGCCCAGGCTTGCGCCGCGCACCGCCCTCGCCATCCTCCCCGGGAAACCCCTCGGGCAGCAGCTCCTGCAGCAGCGCAGGCAGCCGGGGCCGGGACCGGGGCAGGCACGCGGCGCAGCGGCAGCGGGTGAGGCAACACACCCCAGCCAGGCCCCGCAGGCAGACGCAGGGTGCCCGCCGGCGTGCAGCCAGTCAGCCGGGGTCTGGCTGGCAGCCTGGCGGGCACTGCCCTCCATTGCTCTCCGCCGCTCCTCCGGGCGGCTTGCCTTGAACTTGCGCCCCTGCAGCCCCGCCACGCTCTTCACAACCGACTTGACAATGTCCCACTGCGGGGCAGGGAGGGGGACGGGACAACGGAGGGAAAGAACCTCGACTCAGGCCGGGGCAGCGGCGCGGCAGCTCGGCACGCCGCGCGCGCACGCCCGCAGCGGGCCCAGCGGGCTGCTGCGCAGCGCCCGCCGGCAGGGCTGGTGGCGCCGCCCCCTCACACGAGCCCCACACCCACCACACTCTCTCTCTCTCTCTCTCTCTCTCTCTCACACACACACACACACACACCGCCCCGCCCCGCCCGCCCCCCATCTTACCTTCATCCTGTTGAACAGCTCCCTCCACCTGCCCTCAATGTTGACGTAGGTGCGGTTGTCGATGACCAGCTTGAGGTCGTTGAAGGTGCTGCGACACACGCGCACGCACACACACACACACAGGTGGGTGGGCACACACACACACGCACAGACGCGCGCGAGTGGGCGCGCGGGTGGGTGGGGTTGGGGTGATGGGCGCAGAGAGGTGCGATCACAGGGATGGGGCGGCGGCGGCGGGGTGGTTCGCAAGCGGAGCCAGGCCCGCATGCATCGGCGGAGGGAGGCAGGCGGGCAGGCAGGCAGGCGAGGAGGGGGGCCAGACACACAGGGAACCCCTCCCAACAGGGCCCCAAGGGTGGAGGGACCCCTCCCCTGCCACCTTCTTTCCACCCCACAGCTCACAGCGGGTAGCCCTCGTATGTGACGCGGCAGTGCGCCCGGTTGAGCTTCACGTGCACGAAGCGGACCTTGCGGTGCGGCGGGCTGGCCGCCGCCGCGCGCACCGCCACCTGCAAACGCACGGCAGCACCGCCGGTGGCGGCAGCGGTGTGATGGGCGTCAGCAAAGCGGCTGGCTGGCGGGGCTCGGGCCGACTGCCCGCCAAACCCAATCAATGCAGTGGGTGTCACCAGCGTGGGTAGAGCCAGCGGCGGCAGAGCCAGGGCCAGCCCGCACATGGAGCGCCCGTCACTCACGCTGTCTGCGTCTGAGGCGGCCAGGCTGATGCTGGACAGGGGGCGGTACAGGCGGCCGCCAGCCAGCGTACTGCCCGCCCCCGCACGCATTGCCCCGCTGCCAGCCCGCTCCAGCTGCCCCGTGGCACTGGTGCGCTGCAGGTGGCTGGGGCCGCCGCCGCTGGTGCGCTGCAGGTTAAAGGCGACGCTGGGGCCGGCGCCGGCGCCGCCGCCGCTGGCCAGCGCCGCCGCCGTCTCCGCCGCCGCCTCCAGGAGCGAGGCCTCTGCCGCGGCTGCTGCCGCTGCCGCCGTGGCGGAGCCTCCCAGCGTGCTCTGCCTGCTGAGGTTGCCTCCCTCAGCCGCGAGGGAGGAGGTGCGGCGGTGCAGCTTGCTGGGGGCGGAGCGCCAGCCTGGCAGGCAGGAGGGAGACGAGCAGGCGCGGTGGGCAGCTGGCAGCTGGCGCGTCGCTCCGGGCCCCCTCTCTGCTTTCCTTTCCTCCTGTATGTGGAAAGGAGGGAAGCCGGCACAGGCCCGGCGCAGCAGACCCCGCTGCCTGCCCCGCCCCGCCCTCATGGCGTCACACCCACACACCTGCGTTGACGATGGCCGAGGCGCGCGGCGTGCCGGCAGCCGCGCGAGGGCTCTGCCCGCCGCTGCTGGGCTGGCTGCTGGTGTCGCCCGGGGGCAGCAGCACGGTGCGCCGCTTGGGGGAGCCCTGCTGAGGGCCAGGCGGGGGCAGCAGGGGCAGGCTGGCGCAGCTGGAGCGGCGCGACGCGAGGCTCGGGCGGCGGGGCCGCGGGGCAGGCGGGGGCGAGGGAGCGACAGCGTGCGGCGGCATGCGGGGGAGGCAGGCTGGGGCGGCGGCAGGGCGTGCTCACCCCCATGGGGGAGCCCTGCTGCGAGTACGCCACCTCAGCTGGAAGCGCCGTGGCTGAGCGCCTGCAGCCGGGGGGCGGGGGGGGAGGCAGGCACCGAAAGCAAGCAAGGCGGCCAGAGGGCGGTGAGCAGAGTGGAGAGGCAGCATCAAAACTACCCTGAAAGAAGCAGGCCGCAGGTGTGCCGTGGCAGCGCAGCGCCAAGCGGTGCGCAGAAGGGGGTGTTGCCAGCAGCGCGGATGCGGGGGATGCGCGCGCACCTGTGCCGCGCGGCGGCGGCGGCGGGCACCGCCACGCTGCGCGCAAAGGCGGCGGCGGCACGCGCCTTCGACTCGTCCTCGCGAGGGAAGAAGTACTCCTGCGGTACCATTTACGTGCGGTACATGATGCGGTACCATGCACGGTGCAGCATGGCGCGGTGACGGATCCGTACTATTGTAGCAGGGCGTACAGCACGGTGCAGCGGCGCGCACGGCACATCGCAGCCGGGCCAGGGGAGCAGGCCGGCGGGCGCGGCAGCGGCGCCTCCCCCCCCCCCCCCCCCCCCCAGGCGACTAGCATGCGCTCACCCAGAAGGCGACGGCGATGCCCTCTGTGAGGTGGAAGGCTGTGGGGTGCAGGATGAGGTCCAGGTGGTCGTAGATGATGTGGGTCTGTGGGGAGGGGTGCAGGGGGAGGCGTGCGTGAGTGTGTGTGTGTGCGGCAGGCATCCGTGGGCGCCCCATGCATCACTCCCTGGCCACCGCTAGGCCGCCCCGCCCTCCACAAGCACGCCGTGCCCTGCACTGCAACCCTCTCCCACCTAGCCCACCCCGCCCGCCCACCTGCGTGGGCACCCCCATGGTGGCCACCGCCCGTACCATGTCGTCCCGCTCCCAGCTGGCATCCGGGTTCCACACAGACAGAATCACGCCTGCGGGGGGGTGACAGGGGTGGGGGGTGGGGCAGGCCGGGACGGCAGGGCGAGGTGCGCAGGTCGAGGTGGGCAAGCGGGACGGCGGGGCGAGGTCGGCAGGGCGAGGTGGGCAAGGGAGGATGGGGCGGGCGGGTGCAGGACGGTGGTGTGTCGCCCCGCCCAGCCCGCCAGCCACAGCTGCACCGCGCGCTCCTCCCCAGCCAGCACACACACAGCTCCACACGCTGTTCCACACTGTCCCACACTGTTCACGCCCCTTCCCGGCCCCCCCAAAACACAACACACCCACCTGCGTTGATGCCGGGGCCGGGCCCCAGCATGCCCTGGGAGTCCAGCACCTCGATGCGCCCAATCACAAACTTGGCGGAGCCTGCAGGGCGAGGGGAGCGGGGCGCCAGCAGGGCAGGGCGCCGCCAGCTCAGCAGGCAGGCAGGCAGGGGCGGCATGCGGCAGCCGCTCAAGGCGCCCCTGTGCAGCTCCCGCACGGCAGGGCTCAAGCGGGCGGCAGCGGCAGCAGGGCCCGGGTCCGAGCGTGCCGCCGCCACGGTACCGGAGTGGTCCTTGTTCTGAAACTTGTCCAGCAACAGGCGGCGGATGGCGGCCTGCGCGGGGGCGGGCAGGCGAGCGGAGCAAGCAGCCGGCAGGCTGGCGGGGTGAGTGGATGGCACGGGCAGGGCAGCACGGCAGATGGGGCGATGAGAAGCAAAACGAGGCTGGCGACAAGGCGGGGCACGCCGCGCCGCGCTTCATTCATCGGCGGCGGCGGCGGCGGCGAGCACAGGTGCGCAGCGAGCAGCACGCGGCTGCCGCTGTGCGGCACACCTGCACAAAGGGTTCCCGTGACAGGCTGCACATCTGCCACACCACGCGGTCCAGCTGCAGGCGCAGGCGAGAGGCAGAGTGCTTCTGCTGGCGCTTGCGCGCCACGGCCTGCGGGGGCAGGCGGGCGGGCGGGCCAGGGGCAATGCTCGGCTGCATGCGTGAGTATGTGTGGGTTGGGGTCGCGGGAGCAACACGGCCGGCGGGATGGAGATGCTGGCTCACACACAGATGCTGGCTCACACACTCACACCAGCCCAGCCGCTGCTGCAGCAGCAGTCACTCCCGTCAGCCAGCAGCCAGCGGCGCCACGAGCGCGGGCCACTACCCGCCACCCACCTTGAGCGCCAGCAGGCAGCCCTTGGCCTGCTCCACCGCCTCGTACGCGCCCCCCTCCTGCTCCTCCACCCACCGCAGCAGCAGCGCCTGCTCCTGCTCCTGCTGCCGCTCCCCCAGGTGCCGCCGCGCCACGAGCGCCGTGCTCTCCTGCGCGGCGCGACCCACGTCCGGCGGCGGCGGTGGCGCCGCGCCGCCGGGGTCGCCCACAGGCGGCGTATCCGCCGCCTCGCCGCCGCCGCCGCCGCCGTAGCCGCCGCCGCCAGCTTCCTCGGCAGCTTCCACGGCTGCTGCAGAGGCGGCCGCCAGGTGCTCCCGCATCGCTACGTTCAGCTCCGCTGCAGGACGGCGGGGCAGGCACCAGGCGTCCTGTCTTGGCCGCCAGTGCGGGATGCAAGCACGCCTCGCCGCCCAATGCCTGCCGCAAGCAATGCAATCTCTGCTGCCCTGCAGACCCCCCCCCCTTCTCCGCTCTGTTCCACCCCAAGCTTAGCCGTGTGTGCACAACCCACCTGCGGTACCAAACTGTACCGCCACAAAGTCCGCGCTGTCTGCCGCCAGGAAGTGGGCCACCGCCAGCGGCGGCAGCAGGCCGTCGGCGTGCAACCCGGGCGGCGCCAGGTGGGAGGTGAAGGCCTGGAGCCCCAGCGAGGCACGCAGCTGCGGGGCGCAAGGACACACGGGGAGGGGGCAGGGCAGGGCAGGGCAGGGCAGGGCCGGCGGGCCGGTGTGTCGGCTGGCGCGGGGAGGAAGCTCGGGCAGGCAGGCAGGGAGGCAGGGAGGCAGGCAGGCACAGCAGCGCTGGCGTGGGCAACGCGTGCGGCTGACGGGCGGTCACGCAGCCCTGAGGCAGGCAGGGGGCAGCGCACCGTATGGGACGCCTGGCGCAGCTCCGACAGCTGCTGGCGCATCAGAGCGTACAGCCGCCGCGCCTCCTCCACTTCCTCCCCCTCCAGCTCTGCACCGGCAGGGCAGGGTGGGGGTGGGGGTGGGGGTGAGCGGGGCAGCAGCGCTGGGCGTCGCCAGCGGGGTGCCAGCCATCCAGCCAACACCCAGCAGACCCTGGCAACGGACCCATCTGCCCGCCCCGCAACCCGCCCCGCAACAGCAGCAGCTCGCCGAGCCCATGCGCACCACCCCGCCCCACTCACCCGCCAGCAGCGCCGCCTCTGCGCCCACCGCGTCCACCACGGGTCCTGGGCTCTGCAGCATGCCCACCACATCCACCAGCACCTCAAACTCCCGGCTATCCATCACGGCCAGCACCTCAGGGACCTACGGAGGGTGCGGGAGGAGGAGGGTGGCGGGGCAGGTGTTGCAAGAGAGAGTGTGTGCCCGTGAGGGTGTTGCAAGTGTGGGAGAGGTGCAGGCGTGCGCTGAGCGGGCGAAACCGGCGGCGGCGCTCGACGACAGGGCGGCGTGGTCACGCCGCCGCCGCCCGTGCTCCTCCCTCCCGCCACCCCAGCAGCTGCGCACGGCGCAGCATCGGGCCCGGCGTGCAGCGCTCCTGTTGCTGCCTCATCCTGTTGCCCTCATCCTGGCGCTGGCACATGGGTGGGCAGCAGCAGACCAGAGTCAGTTTGAGATCTCACCCTTATCACCAGCTCCTCGCCCCGGATGGCTGAGGCGGTGAAGCTCGACTGCGGGCTGGAGCGCAGCCTGCCGCCCCGCCCGCTCAGCGGCGCGCGCCGGCGCCGGCCGCCGCCGGCCGTCGCCTTGCTGTGCCTGAGGCTCATCTGGGTGGGCTCGAAGATGCGCCTGCCGGGGCGCAGCAGGCGAGGAGAGGAGGCAGGCATGGTGGGTGGGTGGGTGGGGGTGGGGGTCGCATCGTGAGTTCCCTCCCCTCACACGCCGCCTTCACATCTCAACGCCAGGTGCCGGCAGGCCCAGCAGCCTCCCTGGCCTCCCCCCCTGCCCGCCGCCTCCACTGCTTGCTTCTGGCGCCGGCTGCTGCGCTGGCTGCTGCGATGGCCCGCCAGCCCGCCGGCCCCACCTGGCGGGCACCATCCTGCCCTGCCCCGCGGGCAGCTGGTATCCTGTGGGGGTGGGCTGCAGCCACAGCACAGGCGCATCTGGGTCCACATCCATCTGCGTCACATGCGCAGACACCTGTATGGCGGAAGAAAGAGGGGTGGAAGAAAGAGGGGAGCGTGGGGTGTGTATGGTGGAAGAAAGGGGGGAGCGTGGCTGTGCTCGTCCCAGCTGGCAGCGAGCGACGGCGGCCACGTGCGGTGTGAAGCAGCCCAGCGGCGGCGGCTGCGGCTGCAGCTGTGGCGGCGGCGCTGTGCGAAGCAGCCCAGGAGCAGCGGCGGCGGCGGCCGCGGCGGCGGCGGCGGCTGCGGAGGCTCTTGCCTGCTCCATCATCAGTGCCGTCACATTCAGGCCCGGCTCCGGCAGGTGCAGGCCCTGCAGCCGCCCGCTGCGCGCCGCCAGCAGCAGCCGGCCCTGCGGGGGCAGGCAAGGCAAGACAGGGGGGGAGCGCGCCGCGAGGTTGCAGAGTCCAACCTTGGAAGAGTCCCACCTTGGAAGAGATGCAGCCCTCTCCCAGGACTCGTCAGCAGTGCAGTGCTGCCCACACCGCAACGCCACCCATACCGTTACACCCCCCACGCCTGCCGCCAGCCAGCCACCAGCCGCCAGCCGCCAGCCGCCAGCCGGCCCAGCTGCCCAGCCACCCTCCACCTCACCTGCGCCGCCTCCGCCTCGATTGTAATCTGAAGGTCCCTCACTTCCACCACATACTTGAGCTGCCCCGCCAGATCATCCGCAGGGCAGGACAGCAGCGCCTGCGGCGCGCGCAAGAGGAGGGGCCAGGCGCCGAGGGGCCCGCCGGAGCGCTCAGCGCTGCGGGACGCAGCGCACGGCGTGGGCGGCGGCAGCGCGAGGAAGGGGCGGCAGCAAGGCAGGAGGAGAGGCGCGGGCGTGGGCACTTGTGTGGATGAGCACCGCAGCCCACCTCCTCGTCTTCCTCCTCGTCATCGTCCTCTGCGGTACCCGGGTGCACCAGCCCGTCTGGCCCGGGCCTGCCCCGCCCCACCCCCACACCCTCCCGGCGACCCCTCCTCCGCCTCCCCGCCCTCCCCTTCCTCCTGCCGCTGCTGCAGCAGCAGCGCCAGCAGCTCATTGCTACTGTCTCCCGCCGCCGCGCCCGCCGCCTGCTGCGGGGCCTGGCCTGGAGTGGGCGCAGGGCCATCCACGCTGCGCCGGGCGCTGGGCGGGGCTTCTGCCAGGGGCTCGGCGGAGGGGGTGGGCAGCGGGGTGGAAAGCGCCGACTGCGACTCGCTGACGTGGCGTTGCAGCTGCACGGCGGCGCAGGGAGCGGCGGCAGACCGGAAACGTGACGGCATGCGGCTCAGGGATTTGGCCGGGGGAGGCATGCTGAGGAGGGAAGACGCAGGTCGGCCGGTGCGGCGCCAGGCATGCACCGCCGACACAAGCAGCTCCCGGCAGCCGGATGGCAGCCGAGCAGCCTGCAGCGGCCTGCGCCGCACCCGCACCACCGGGCTGGAGATGCACCAAGGCATGCTGGGGCTGGTGGTGAGGGCGGGGGTCGGGGAGGGCGACGTGGAGGGCGGGAACATCTGCGCAGGGTGGGGCGGGGTGGGGCGAGGCGCCAGGGTTACACCATGAGGCGAGGCAGAAGCAGCAGCTGGCTGTGCATGGCAGGGCGGCATAAAGGAGCTGGGAGCTGGGAGCTGGGGCGGGAGCAGAGGGAGGGCAGGCCAGGGCATGCGCCGCTGCCTCCAAGCCCTGGCCAATGCCGTCCCCGGACCTTGCGCTGGCGCTGCCCCCCACCACCACCCACCGAGTGCACTGCGGCGTTGCGCAGGTTGTGCCGCTGCTGGGAGACGCCGGTGGTGAAGGCGGAGATGAGGTGCTCCACTGCAACGAGGAGAGCAGGAGCAGGCGGGGAGGTGCATGCGGTGTGTGCGTGTGCGTGTGCATGTGCGTGTGCGCGTGCGAGCGTGGGTGCATGTGGCAGGGAGCGGGTGGCGGGAGGCAGGCGGGCTGGGCTGGCGGGCGGGCAAGCCGCACCTGCGCCCCACACCGCGTCCCGCGCCGCTCGGTCCACCAGCACGCGGCAGTCGCTGATGAGCACACGCAGCGGCCTGCGCAGCGGCTCGCAGCGGCCCGGGAAGCCGAGGGGGCGTCAGCCGGCAGCTCCCCTTGGCACGCAGCAGCTGCCAACAGCAGGCGGGCAGGTGAGCATCCAGCCAGCATGCATGCCGCAGGCCCCCCCTTCCCACCTGCTGCTGCCGCCGTGCGGCTGCAGCGCCTCGGCCACGGGGTCGTCGCCTGGCGAGGCGGCGCGGCTGGCGGGCGGCGTCAGCCCGTCCTGCGTCACCGCCACCGCCCCCGCGCTGATGATGGGCTCCTGCTCTCGGGTCACTGGTGCCACCAGGTCGCCCAGCAGGCCCAGCATCTCTCCCTCCACCTCCTCCGCATCCGCCCACGCGTCCCGCGCGCCGCCCCCGGCCGCCGCCGAGCGCGGGCTGGCGCCCGGCAGCGCGCTGGAGGCGCCGCCGTCGGCGCGCCGCCGCTGGCTGCCGGCCTTGTGGACCGTCACGCCGCCGGCCTGGACGTCCATGCTGAGGGTCAGGGTGCGGGTGGCCTCCTGCCTCCTGCAGGGACGCAGACAGGAGGCCGAGCGGGCAGGCCCAGCGGAGCAGGCGCATTTTCGCCGGAGGGGGGCCACGAGGGGACAGGACACGGGTTCGCAACTGGCGGGGGCGCGCCGACCATGGCACGCCCAAAGCACGGTGCCAGCACCGCACGAGCCCCCTGCCTGCCGACCCTTCACCGCCCGCCACCCACCTCTTGTTGCCGCGCGCGTGGGGGGGCAGCTTGAGGAAGGTGGGCAGGGGCTGGTTGAAGAGGTAGCAGGCTGTGTAGGCGCAGGAGGGGGCGTGCAGGTGGATGCCGTGGGAGGGGTCAGAGGGGTCCCCAGCATAGTGCACCACCTCCAGGGGTGCCGCCACGATGTTCAGGCAGAACTGCGGGGCAGAGAGGGGTAGGGCGGGCAGGCGGGGGCGCAGCGGGTGGTTGGTGGCGAGGTGGTTGGTGGGTTCGGGGTGCTCTGCGGTGATTGGGGCGTGTGACGGATGACCGGGCAGAGGCAGCAGGGGCGAGGTGGGGCAGCCGGCGGGGCGGAGCTGCCCAGAGTCGAGGCAGGGCGGAGCAGGCCGCAGTGTGGGTTGCAGGCGTGTGTGGCAGGGGCCCGGCACCCAGCTAGCCTCGCCTTCTGCGTCAGCTTGCCGATGCCCTTCTTGGAAGGGCTCGCGGCGGCCGGGGGCTTGCGCCAGAAGAAGCTGCCGCGCCGCGCCACCGCCCGCATCTGCGCAGGCAGGCAGCGGGCAAGCAGCCGTGGCGGCTCCTTGATTGTTTGCTGGTTTGGGTGGCGGTGATGCAGGAAGCAGCGGTGGCGGTGGGGCGAGCCCACAAGACATGGTCGGCGTCCCCCGAGCGGGCCGCGCTGCGCCTTGCCTGCGGCGGCAGCCGGTTCATCACCGCCACAAACTGTTTCATCCATTGGATCTGCAGGGGGAGGGAGGCAGCAGGCGCGGTGCCTCAGCGCGAGGCCTGCCGATCAGAAGCTGAAGCCAGCCAGCATGAGCCTTGCCTCACCTGATGGCCGCCGAGGAAGCCAACCGCAGGCCCTGCCGCCGCGGAACCGTCGCCGGGCGCCGCTCCGCCCTGCCCCAGCTCCACATGCAGAGCCAGACCCCAGCTGTCCACCTTGTACGCTACCCCCGCCTGCACCGCACATGGTTTAGGGGGTGGGTGGGATGTGTGTGGGAGGGCAGGCAGGTTGCAGCGCTGGCCCGCACGCCCGACGCAAGGAAGCAGCAGCAGCAGCAGCCTGCCGTGCCGTGCAGGAGCCGCTGCTGTCGGGCTCACATGCACCGGCGCCTGCAGGGCGCCAGCTGGAGGCAGTACCACAGGGAACAGGTGGTGCTCCTCCGCGGGGCGCCCCCCAGGCAGCTTCCAGTCCACCTCCAGCCTGCGCCGTCAGCCGGCGGCGGGGGCCGGGAGCGCATTTTCTTAGTTACAAGATGCCAGCAGGCGAACGACACGATGTCACGCGCCGCAAGGCAGGCCACACACGCTCGGCTCACGGCCGCGCCAGCCTTCACAGGCCACGACCGCGCCGCTGGCTGCTAACCAATCCCAAGGCCCACCTGACGCTGGCTTGAGGCGCCCGCAGGAAGGGCAATTCCAGAAGCGTACCGCCCAGCTGCTGCACGCCTGCCGCGCGGTGCAGCGTCACGCTCAGCTCTCCCGTCTCTAGCTCGTATCGCCCCGACAGCAGGCGGCCATGCACCCCGCAGGCCTCCACCTGCGCCAGCGGTGGCAGCAGCGGCGGCAGAGAGGGGGATCAGCAGCCGACATGTATGTCATGTGACCCTCGGCAAGGCGGCTGGGTTGACGAGCCCAAGCTTGCAGGCAGCGACAGCGGCAGTGGCATGGGCGGTGGCATGGCAGTGGCACGGCAGTGGCATGGCGGTACCTCCATGCGCTCGCTGGTATCGCAGATGCCGGGGTGTGCGGTACCGCCCAGGGTCAGCCCGAAGCGGCCCACCGACAGCGCCACAGGGCCGCGCCACATGTAGCTGCAGGCGGGTGCCGCCAAGCAGCCAGTCAGGGTGTCCGCCCCCCAGATACCTGCTGGAATGGCATGCATGCAATGCATGCATACCACCCAGCACTGCCCTCTCCCCCGCCCATCTCACCGCAAGTCGTCCCACCAAGGGATGGGCGGCGGCCGCGGCACGCTCCTGTCTGGGTCGCTGGGGCTCAGCCGCTTGCCTGCCAGGCCCACGAGCGTCATCGTTGGCTCCAGCCCCTGTGCTCGACAGGCGGGGGAGGTGGGCGGGCACGGCGGTCTGGCAGAGAGGCAGGCGTCCCCATCCAACGTGGCCGCGTGCAAACCGCGTTGCTGTCAGTGATGCATGCAACCCACAGCCTCCCCGCCTGCCTGGGAGTGGCACACTGTCAGCGTGCTGGCCTCCAGAGCCAGGTCTGTGTAGAACTTGAAGGGAGGCCTGCAGGGTGTGCAGGTGGGATGGGGTGCAGGGGGCGTGCAGAGGGGCGGCGGTGGGGTGGGGCGACGCAGGAGGACAGCAGCCAGCAGCCAGCAAGGAGGGGCCGCTGCAGTAGCGCCAGCAGGCGGGCACGGTGCACGAGTGCCAGGCCGGCAGCGTCGACAACGCAGGTCGCATGCAGCGCAGGCCCAGCACGCAGCCTGCATGCCCGCCGCACCTGCACCCCTTGACTGTTATGGGAATGGCAACGCGGCGGTGGGCCCCGATGGGCAGCTGCCTCTGCAGACAGAGCAGCAGGAGGGAGGGAGGCACAGGTGCACCCAGTTGCGCCGCCAGAACAGCAACCCCTCCCTTCACCGTTCTTCTGGATGCTTCCCTGCCCACCAAACACAGCCACTGCCACAAGCCGCCGCCAGAGCGCAGCCCACCTGGCGCGTTTGGGGCGGCGCGGTGGCCTGGCGTGCCACCGCGGCAGCGCCGCTGATCAGCACGCCGCCCGCGCCCACAAACGGGCGGCTGGTGCCGGCCAGACGCATGGCAAAGTCGTCTGCCGCCACATCCACATGCAGCTTCAGCATCTGCAGGCAGGGGAAGGGGCGGCCAGGGTGGGCAGGAGCTGGCTTGCGTCTGTGTTGTGTTGTGGACTAGGCACTACAGTCGACCGACGCACACAGCCGCACACAGCAAGCACACAAATGCATACAGTAGTACACACACCGCACATACATACACACAACACACGCACCACAGACCTCACCCCACCATCCCCCACCCACCTTGGCCATGGGCACGGCCTCCGACGGCGGGTCGGCCTCCGCGATCTGGCGCCGCGCCGCCGCCCGCGCCTCGTCGCTGCCGCAGCACACCGCCACCAGGCCCTGCAGCCGGCTGCAGCTGATCACCATGAGATCGTGGCCGGGAGGGGCGACCACGCCGCCGCTGGGGCCCCCCGTGCCCTCACCGCCATCCCCGCCTGCCAGAGCCGGCCCTGAGCCAGGCGCCGCCTCCTGCCCCTGCCCCTGCTCCTGCTCCTGCTCCTGTGACGGCCGCAGCTGCCGCCGGTTCCAGCGGTCTGCCTGCCGCAGTTTGCTGCGGTACAGCAGCAGCAGCTCCTGCATCAGCCCATCCCAGGCCTGCTGGCTGGCGGCCGCCACCGTCTCAAACGCGCTCTCCACCATGCCGGCGTGCAGCGGGCTGGCGGTGTCGGCGGGCTGCAGTTAGGGAGCAGCAATGGGAGGGTGGGCAGGCGAGCAACGCCTTCAGGCACAGGAGGGTGTGTTTCACCGGCACTGGAAGCTGGCGCATGTGAGCCAGGGAGCAGCACAGGCACAGCCCACACACCTGGACAGCTGCCGCCACCTCGCCCCACAGGTGCTGCTGCACTGCCAGCTGCTGCAGCAGCGGCCCCCGAGACGCCATCCAAGCCTGCACAGAGAGGCAGGGGTCGTACAGGCAGCAGAAGGCGCAATGCCAGGAGGTGAGCAACAGAGCCTCCCCTTCCATGCTGCCCTTGCAAAGCGCTGCAGGCACAGGCTGCGGGCGCAGCTGCTGCCGCCGCACCTCCATCGGATGATGCTCAAAGCGCAGGGCAGGCTCCTCTGCCACCAGGTTGATCTGCATGGGGAAGAGCAGCGGGGGCCGCTGCCGCCGCTCGTCTGCTGGCACCTGCTGCCCGTTGGCCCCCGCCGCACCGCCTCCGCCGCTACGCAGCTGTCGTTTGAACAGCTCAAGGTGCTGCAGGTGCTGGTGCATGGCCTGCAGGGGACATTGCCACGCAGCACAGGAGGCAGTAAGTCGGCACGTGTCTGCCTGTGCCAGGACCACAATGCTCCCAGAAGGACGAGTACAGGGGCTGGATGGAAATGCCAGCAGGGTGCTGCAGTACATGCCAGGCGGTACCACAGCAGTACCAGGCTCACCGTCTCCAGCGCCTTGAAGTACAGCTCGGCGTACCGTTCCGTGGGCCCCGGCTCGCCATCGTGCGGCACTACCAGCTCCGCGCCGCTGCAGGGCCAGGCCGGTGCAGAGGGATGTGAGGGGCAGGGTGAGGTGGGCTGTGGCTGTTCGCTCGAACAGAGTAGACCGGTGGTAGAGCTTGCACAGGTACAGGCGTCTGCTGGCCCATGCCACGACTCGCACCAGGGGGCATGCCAAATTGCAAGAAAGCGCACCTGAAGCGGGCATCCAAAATGCTAGCGGGGCCGCACCCCAGGGCCGCCGCCGCTGCGGCGTCCTGCGTTTGCCGCTGACCGCCCTCTGCCGCTGCCGCTGCGGACGGCGCCGTCGCAGCATCGGCCTCCAGCCAGGCCTCCAGCCTGGCACGGTGGTATGCGTCGTAGCTGGCAGGGCTGCCGCCCACATCTGGCTGCGGTTGCCCCTGCTCCTGAGACTCGCTGCCTGCATCAGCATCTGCCGGTGCAGCCCCCACGCCCCCTGCCGCCGCCGTCTCAGCAGCAAGCAGCGGCGCCGCGAGCCTGCTGCCGCTGGCCGCCGGCCCTGGCAGGCGCAGGCTGGCTGCCAGCTGCCGCCAGCGGAGCACAGGCGTGCCGTCCATGTTGAGCGCTGCGCCCGCTGTGCTCACGCTGTGCTGACAGCCCTGCTGTGCCCCGACCACAGCGTGCACCGCCGCCACCTCCACAACCATGTCACGGCCACGATCGGGTGCGTACAGCGGCTGCACCACGCGCAGCTGTCCCACCGTGACGCTGAGCGGCTGCCGCGGCCGCCGCTGCTTGGTCGCGCGCGGCTGGCCCTCGCTGCTGATGCTGCCGCCGCCGCTGCGGGGCACTGCCGCAAGCACCGGCGCCAGCTGCTGAGCGGCGTGATCTGCCACCGCTGCCAGGCACAGAAGCGCATCCGCATCTGCGCAGGCCGCCAGAGACCCAACATCGAGCTGCATGCCGCTGCTGCTGTCGCCAATGCTGCCGCCACCGCTGCCGCCAGCCTCAGCCGTGTCAGGTACAACGGAAGCATCTGCCGGCCGCTCCAGTGCCGCTGCCGCCGCTGCAGGTGCCGCTGTGGCCTGTCGGAAAGCAGCACGGTCCAGGCTGACGATTGCCAGCTTGGCTTGCTCTGCAAGCACAGCCGGGGGGCATCTGGGCACCTGAGGGAACCCCTCCTACGGACCAGCCCAACATAAAGGGGGGTGCTCGTGGGGCGCCTGCGGGCATCAAGGCTGCAAAGAAGAGGCGCCTTGCACTCACCCTTCAGGGCGTCGGAGCGGCTGGGGAAGCGCTGGGAGAGGGGCCCCTCGCAGTAGAGCAGGCAGCACCCCTCGGCGGACAGCCTGGTGCCGCCGCTCCCGCCCAGCCTGCCGCTCATGCTGCTGAGCAGCAGCGCTGGCGCCGTCGGCAGCAGCTGCAGCTGCCCGCTGGATGCGTGCTGAGCTGGCACGGTGACGGTGGTGGGCAGCAGAACCAGCGTGTCGGCACAGGAGAAGGCGAGGCGCAGCGGCAGCGGCAGCCGCTGCCGCCGCCGGCTGCTGGCCGCCGCCGCGGCCACCGACGCCAGCGGGGCAGCTGCCGCAGTGCCGGCATCGCTTGCTGCCGTTGCCTTGGGCGTCGGCAACAAGCTGACAATCACGCTGGCCACCTGCGCAAGCTGCTGCTGCTGCAGCAGCAGGTGCACGCCAGCCGTGGTGGCATCCAGCGATGCGCCTGCTGCCTGCTGCTGCTGCTGGTCCTGGTGCAAGGCCTGGGCTGAGTGCTCCACCTGCACCCGCAGCAGCTTTGCGGCCAGCATCTGAGGCGGCGGCAGCACCGGCGCGTGCTGCTGGCCAGCCAGGCTGCCTGTGGCGAGGGCGTGCATCTCGATGCCATCCGCCTCAAAGCTGCCGGAAGCCGTGCTGCTGCTGCCACCCTGCACTGCCAGCCTGCACGATGCCAGGCTGCTGCTCCAGCAGCAGCGCCCCGCAGCATCTGTGAACAGCAGCCTGCTGCCATCTCCGAGGCTCACGCTGCCATGCCACTCCGCCAGCAGTGGCGCCGCCGAATCAGCGTGGCCAATCGACGCCTGTGCCTGCCTCTGGCCACCAAGCCCACCAACCTCGCCCTGGATGCCGCTGGCATCAGCTGGAAGCAGTGTCTCTGCTGTTGCCACTGCTGGAGGTGCCGGCTTGATGGCTGCCGTGGCAGCCGCGGCCATCTGGCGCAGCTGGCACACCAGCGGCTGCACTGCGGGGTGGCAGATATCTGTGTGCAAGGCGCCGATGCTGACTTTGGCTACCACTGACAGGGAACCCTGGCTGAGGCCCTGCTGCTGCTGCTGCTGCTGCTGCTGCGAAGCAACGCCTGTTGCCGCCGGCGAGAGGTCCAGCGACCACTCGGCTGCCCCGCTGCTCAACGCCACGGCGGATGGCAGCAGCTGCTGCCTGTGCCCAGTCCCGCTCGCTGCCCCAAGGCTGGCAGATAGCTGCTGCCAGCCTGCCCTTACGCTGGTCAGTGCTACTGCGCAGCTGCTGGCACTGCTGCCGCTGTCTGCTCCCTCCTCTGCCGCCGCCTTGGCAAGACGGCAGCTGAAGCCCCTCAAGCCAAAGGCTGCCTGCAGCGGCAGCCCGCCGCCAGCACTGGCACTGCTGCTGCTACTGTCTGTGGCCACACTGCAGCTAGCAACAGCTGCCTCCATATCTCTTGGGAGCAGCTCCAGCAGGCGTAGCAGCCGCTGCTGCTTGTCGTCCTGTGCAGGCGGTGGCGCTGCCTGCTGCGGCCTTGCGCCCCGCCGCCGCGCTGCGGCCTGCACTCTCCACTGCTGCTGCACCCACAGCAGCAGCTGCTTGCTGGCAGTCAGGCTGATGGCGCCTAGCTGTAGCGAGAGAGACTGCAAGGAGGGGGGGGCCGAGGAAGAGGCCGCCGGAGCCAGCTGCCGTAGGCTGAAGCTACCGTCATGCCGGTGCTCCAGCAGCAGCCGCTCCAACTGCAGGAAAGGCGCAGGATCCTGCTCGAGTGTTCCCACAGGGCTGCCCGCCTTGGGGCTGCCGGGGCCGCTGCCCAGCCCCCAGCTGCTCTGGAGTGCCGCCGTCAGGCGGCTCGGGCTGCTGCCGCTGCTGCTGCTGCTGCTGCCGGCAAGCGTGCTGTTGGAGTTGGGCAGCAGGGCAGCAGAGAGGCCCTCCAGCACCAGCTGCTGCACTCCGTGCAGGGCCAGGGACCCTTGGTGCAGGTGCAGCATCACACCTCGCCTCTGCAGGCACAGGCGTACCAGCACACACGCTGAGGCCGGCTTCCTGGTGCCAGCAACTCAGCCGCCTGCATGCCTGGCGCGTGCTGTACAGCAATCGAGGCCGCCAGCAGCTCCAGCACCCAACCCCCAGCAGACTAGCACCCACCTCATCCTGGACTGTCAGCCCCTGCAGCCGCACTGGCAAGTGTCCCAGCAGCCACAGCGGCGGCCGCACGACCCGCCTCCTCCTAGCACCGGCCCCAGCAGCAGCGCGACCGAGGCCGCCTGGCTGCTGCTCAACCGCATCAAGCGCCCGTGGTTGTGGCTGCGGGGGCGCCGCCAATGTGATGCCGACACCTTGCAGCCGAACCGGCAGCAGCAGCTGGCCGCTGATCAGCACCTGCCACAGCCAGCTGGCCCCGCCGCTGGTGGCGGCAACGCCGCTGGCGCCGGCATCTCCAGCAGCAGCGGCGGCGGGGCCTTTGCTGGCCATCCCAACTGAGAGGTGAGCGATGCGCAGCTCACGCATGGGGCCCTGCAAACGCGTGGGGCAGTCGGCCGGCATGCCCGGCACAGCTTCAACCAGCCTGCACCATGTGACCGTGGCTGCAGCAATGCAGCAGGACATTGCCGGGGCCGCCCCGACCGTCGCGATGGTTCGGGCGCAGGCTGGCTGGCCCACCAGCCTTGGCAGAAGGTTGGCATGCGCAGGCACTCACCACATGCAGCACCAAGCGCAAGTCTGCCAGGCCTGCAAAGAAAAACTGGCCGATAGAGAGGCGGAAGGCGCGGCCGTGCGCAAAGTGGGTCACCGCCAGGCCGAGCAGCCTGCAGTGGATGAGCGTGGGGAGGTGAAGCAGGGTCCCAAGTGGGCATCAGCACAGGCACATTATGCTGCGAAGCCCGGGTGCCAGGCACGCAGCGGCGGCAACGGCGGTGCAGCACCAGTGCGCCCGAGCTCACCGCTTCCAGCAGTTGGCAAACACAACCAGAATGCCCGCCCAAACCATCAGGGCCGCCAGCGGGCCCATAGCGACCCACGAAACTGTGCGAAACGCGGCGGGTTAGGTGTTGGGCTGCAACCTCACGGCGGCCATGTGGAGCTGCCCTGAGCGTTTACGGGGCTGCGCTGCTCGACAGCAGGGCGACCTGGCAAGTCTGTGCGTCGCCAACCGATCACTCCCTCAATTTCTTTCAACAAATGCCCGCAGATACAGCTTGAATCGGTGTAACAAAGTGATCGAACAAAAAAGATCGGGCGTAGCCGCCCTATGGAGCTCGAGCGCAAAACCTGCGCCACCGCCAGGCGGGCGGGGCGGGACCCAGCGAAAAGGAAGGGCTGGGCGGTGGACACCGAGCCTCCCGTATGAGTTGGGCAGCCGCTGGCCCCTGCCTATTGCCAGCTGTTACCGGCCGGGCCGGTCCATCACCGCCGCTCCTGCCGCCGCCGCATCAGCGTCGGGGCAGGTCGGGGCAAAGTCAGAGCCTCGCTGCTTGTTGTCACCCGTTCTGCTGAGCTTCAAGCCACAGCTTACTCCAACTGTGGTAATCAAAGATGAGAGGAGGGACATAGGCGTGGACCCAGGAGGCGCCACTGCATTCCAGCTGTGCTGGCCCGCCGCCATGCCAGCCGCAGGCCCACCAGCACAGCAACCCTTGCTTTGTGTTAGTTGAGGCATTTACAAATATCAGAGGGGATTCTGAGAAGAGGATTTGTAAGTATCAGAGCAAGAATTGCGGTTCTAATCATTTGGAGGGGGTAGAAATGAGGTGCTCGGTTGACGGGACAAAAATTGGGCTGGAGGAATGGAAGCATGTGCAAAGCGGTTTTGCGAGTCAGGATGGGCGTGCCAGAGTGAATGCCAGAGTGAATGTACACAACAGAGGGTTGGAAACCCGGCATGAAATGGAAAGGGAGGTAGCGGGTGGGTGGGGTGGGGGAGGTGCAAAGGGAGCGTCAGGAAAATGAGCGGTGGGTGGCGTCGTGCGTTGCGGGTGCCGGCGGAGCGCAGCGGCGCCTACTTGGAGGCGCGGCGGCGCAGCCTCCGCCGCGCGTCTGTGGCCAGGGCCGAGGCGGGGAGGGATTGGGTGCCGTCGAGGCGCACCGAGGCGACCTGGAAGCGCATGTTGGTGCCGCCGCCGAGGGAGGTGTCTGGGAAGGGGCCGCGCAGCGCCACCGACATACGGAAGTAAGTCTGCTCGGTGCCGTCGCTGGTCTGGGCTACCTTGAGGCGGAACGGCAGCGAGGGGTGGGCGCTGTCCAACCGCGTCACCACCAGGCGATCGCTCCAGCCGTTGACCGCTGCATACTCGCCCGCCGCCGCCGTCTCCTGGAACAGCGAGAGGCGGAAGCCCTGCAGCTGCGGCACCCAGGCGTTGGGCACCGCCCAGGACAGCACCGCAAAGCGGTGGGGGCTGCCCAGCGTGTGGGTCACGCCCACATCCATCGGCACATACTGGGCCGAGCCAGCCGCGCCAGTCTGCTGCGCCTCGCTGGCGTTGGCCGCCGCCTGCTGCGCGGCGGGCTTGGCCGCCTCCGCGGTGTCGTTCTGCTGCTGGGCAGCCGCCTGGGCGGTCTCGTTCTGCTGCGGGGCAGCCACCTGGGCGGTGTTGTTCTGCTGCTGGGCAGCCGCCTGGGCGGTTTCGTTCTGCTGCGGGGCAGCCGGCTTGGGCAGCTGGGCAGCCGGCTCCTGCTGCTTGGGGGGAGGGGACTGGGCAGTCTCACTCTGCTGCTGCTTGGCTGGCGGCGACTGGGCAGCAGGCTGCTGCTGCTGCTGCTCCTGCTGCTGCTGCTGGGCAGCGGGCTGCTCCTGCTGCTTGGGTGGCACGACAGCGGGCTGCTCCTGCTGCTTAGGTGGCGGCGACTGGGCAGCGGGCTGCTGCTGCTGCTGCTCCTGCTGCTGCTGCTGGGCAGCGGGCTGCTCCTGCTGCTTGGGTGGCACGACAGCGGGCTGCTCCTGCTGCTTAGGTGGCGGCGACTGGGCAGCGGGCTGCTCCTGCTGCTTGGGTGGCACGACAGCGGGCTGCTCCTGCTGCTTGGATGGCGGCGACTGGGCAGCGGGCTGCTCCGTCTGCTGCTGCTGCTGCTGGGCAGCGGGCTGCTGCTGCTGGCCCTGGCCCGCCGCCGCCGCCGCGGTGGCTGCGGCGGTCTTGTTCGCGGCCACCTCGGCCTCGACCACCTTGGCGGCAGACACGGCGGCCTTCTGCTGGTACTGCGTGGCCTGCGCCAGCTCCGTCTGCACCCCCCGCTGGTGCGCCGCAATCTGTGACTGCTCCTGCGCCGCCTTCTGAAGGTGCTGTGCCGCCAGCTGGTGCTGCGCAGACTCCTGCTGGTGCGCCGCCGACTGCGCGGCGTGGCTGTCGGCCTGCGCCCGCAGCGCCGCCTCTGCCGCCGGGTCAGTGGCCGCCTTGGCCTGCTGCTGCAGGGCGATGGCCTGCTGCTGGTGCTGGATGGCCAGCTTCTGCTGGGCCTCTGCCGAGGCCAGGTGCTGCTGCGAGGAGCGCAGCAGGGCCGCCTGCTCCTCGCTGGCCAGCGCCGCCTGCTTCTGCGTGGCCACCGCCTGCTGCGCAAGCGACACAGCCTCCGCCTTCTCCCGCTGCAGCGCCTGCTGCTGCTGGCTGATCTCCAGCGCGTCCTGGGCGTCCTGCTGCCTCTCAGCGGTAGCCGCGGCGGCGGCGGCGGCCGCCGCCTTCTCAGCCGCCGCCTTCTCCGCTGCGACCTTCTCCGCTGCGGCCTTCTCAGCCGCGGCCTTCTCAGCCGCGGCCTTCTCAGCCGCCGCCTTCTCAGCCGCGGCCTTTGCAGCCGCCGCCTTCTGGGCGGCAGCGGCGGCCTGCGCCTTCTGCTGCTGCTGCTGAGCAGTTGCCGCCGCCTCTTGCTGCGCCTTCTGCTGAGCAGCTGCCTGGGCGGCAGCCTGAGCCTCTTGCTGCGCCTTCGCCTGCGCGGCAGCCTGTGCCTCTTGCTGTGCCTGCGCCTGTGCAGCCTGCTGCGCGGCCTGCTGAGCGGCCTGCTGCTGAGCGGCTTGCAGCGTGGCTTGCTGCTGTGCGACCTGCGGTGCAGCCTGCTGCTGCGGCTGCTGCACCGCCGGCTGCTGGGCAGCTTGCTGGGCCTGCAGGTGGACAGAGGGGTGGCGGAGAAACAGCTAAACATAAGCGAGGGGTGCTACAGCGGCCGAGACGAGCAGCAGACAGGCTTGCGCAGCATGTCATGCCCATGTGCCCATATGCGCTGTCCACCACATCTTGCCCCCGTTCTGAGATCCTGCATGCAGACCGCCACTCACATCAGCGGCCTGCGCCAGGTTGCTGGCAGGCTGCGCGGCGGCCTCGCCGGCCTGCATCATGCGCCGGCTGGCGACGCCGCGGCGGCGGGGAGAACCGTCAGCCGCCGCCACGTCAGCGGTCGCAATCCTGCGCAGCGAAGCGAGCATGGTGGATTGGCGGGCGGCGCGAACAAAGAAGCCGCCGCGACCAGGGCCAAGAGAGCAGCGCACATGGCGGGCTACAGGCATTTTGGCGGCGCACACCTGCGGGCCGCACAAGCGCCAGTCGCCAGCATGAGCAGGGACAGCAGGACCAGGGCCGCGCAGTTGCGCATGCCGATGGCCATTCTGGACCTGCTGCTGCGAACCGGTGGTGGGTGCGGGCGTTGCCTGGTGTGTGGGGGACTTCTGGTGCGGTCGCGCCTGCAGGTAGGGAGCGGCGGGGCACGAGTGAGCGGGCGGGGCGTCTTGGGGGCGGGCAGGGCCAGCCTCCACCCACAGCTCCCCTCTGCCGCTGAAGAGGCTCAGAAACGACGGCGGCGCCGTTCCGCTGCCCACCGTCCAGCCTTGGCCGGCGGCATGCTTGCTGGCGGCGGCGGCGAGGAGGGGACACAGCCAGCCGCCGCGCCGTGCCCGCAACCCCCTGCCCTGCCACTCCGGCTGGGGCCGGCTGCCGTGGCCTGCTGCATCCCTTATTGCTGTCTATGCTCTTCAGGTCCTTTGTGGCGCACCTGTGTGGGGGGGCGCGCCCTGGAGTGCGATGGGAGAGGGAGGAGTGAGGAGTCACTGCAGAGAGCCCTCCAGCTAAAGGAAGATGGATGGAATAGGAGCATGCAAGCGCGTTGGCAGAGTCTCCTGCACCGGCCACAACGCCGGTGCGGTCGATCAGACAGGCGCAGCTGGGGGGTCAGAGGGCGGTCCCTTTTGGGTCGGCGGCTGTCAGGCGCCATCCAGCCCTTTCACCCCCCGTTCTGTTTTGTAAAACTATGCATGGATGCGAAAATTCCGTTTTCAAGGCAGAAACCGCAAGGGGAGAGGGACATGTGGGGGCGCATGACCCAACCCCCGATGGCACGTCCTGAGGGCCTGCGCCCGACTGATCAATACTGTGGAGCCCTTTCGATCCGCTGGGCAACGTCGCCCTGGCATGGGGGGTCTGCATCCGGGTGGTTCTCCCTTCCCGCCCCTGCCACGACCCAACAACCTGCCAGACGATATAGGGAGATCGAATAGCGCCTAAGGCACGCTGCCTGAGCGGCAACAAAGCTCGCGTATGGGGAGCGTCAAGGCGCCTGCCAGCCCACCCGCATGTGCCTGGCCGCCGCCCAACCACTGGTCATACAGCGCCGTCGCCGCCGTGGGTCTACTGCCACAGCCCTGCCTCGCTTGCTGCCTGCCTGTAGAGAATTCCTTAGGCTGACGTCTTGTTGCATTTGTAAAAATGTGTCCAGCCGATGGCTTCGCCCGCCTTCCGCCATCGCTGGCGATGTCTCGCGCAAGTTGCGCAGGCGGCGGCGGCAGACAAGTAGCGGGGGCACATGCTAAAAGTGGAGAAACATGAAACAGCAGCTCACAATGCTAGGCTCTCGGGAAGCCTCACGTGCTTCCTTGGGAAAACGGGGCGGCGGTGTGCCTGGGGGGCGGCAGCCGGTACGAATCGTTGAGGGACCGCGTGCGCTCCCTTCCTCGCCATCGAGGCGCGCCAGCCTCGCCCGCCAGCCCCACGCCAGCCCCTCACTCAAACACCACCGTCTTGTTGTCGTGCACAATCACCCTGTCCTGCAGGTGCCACCTCACCGCCTTGGCCAGCACCGTGCGCTCCAGGTCGCGGCCCTGCACACAGCGCAGCACAGTACAGCACAGCACGGCACAGCAGGAACAGCAGGCACAGCACGTGAGCCCAGATGTGGCCACAGCCGGCCGGCAGCACAGCAGGCCCATCAGGCCGGCAGCAGCCCACCCCTGCCGGGCCGCCGCGCACACACGCAGGTGGGGCCTGGCTGCCGCCCACCCACCCACCCACCCCCGCGGCACACCCCCGCGGCACACACCCACCTTTCGGACCATGTCTGGCACGCTGTCTCGGTGGCTCACGTGGGTGACGTCCTGGGCGATGATGGGGCCGCAGTCCAGGTCTGCGGGCAGCGGCGGGCGGGCAGGCGGGCAAGACGAGGGTGGTGGGCCCCGGCCGGGGTGCGGGGCTCGAGCGCCAGCCCCGGCCCGCTGCTGCAGCCCCCCGTGCGCAGGCAGGCAGGCAGGCAGGCAGGCACCGCCACCCAGACACCGGCTCCGTGAGCCGCCGCGCCGCCCCGCCTGCGCCGCACCCGAGGTGGCGTAGTGCGCTGTGGCGCCGATGACCTTCACGCCCCGCTCGTAGGCGCGGTGGTAGGGGCGCGCGCCCTCAAAGGCGGGCAGGAAGGAGTGGTGGATGTTGATGGTGTGGCGCCAGTGGCGCTCGCAGAAGTCGCGAGAGAAGATCTGCAGGGGAGGGGCGGGCGGGCAGCGGGAGGCGTGGGGGCTGCATGCAGGGGGTGGCTGGTGAGACAAGCAGCGGGCAGGGCTGCAGGGTCGTGGGGTGTGGAGGTCACCTGCGCGCGCGCAGGCAGCGGCACGCGGGAGCGGGCAGCGCGCCACCAGCTGGCTCGCTGCCGTGCCGCCGCCCGCGCGGCGGCCGCCGCGGAGCCGCCCCGGCGCTGCGCCGTACCTGCATGTACCGCGCCAGCACGATCAGGTCGATGCCCTCCTCCTGCAGTATCGCGTCGATCTGCGCCTCCTGGGCCGCCTTGCTGGCGGGGTCCTTGGGCGTGATGGGCAGGTGGCGGAAGGGCACGCCAAAGCGCCGCGCCACCACCTCCAGGTCTGCACAGCAGCTCCAGAGGGGCGGCAGGGGCAGCGCAGGGGTGCAGGCAAGTGAGCAGGCGCCCGGTGCAGCACCGCAGGCAGGCAGCCCGCCGCGAGGCGGGGCAAGCGCAGCCTGCGCAGCCTGCCACTGCTCCACCGCAGCCCTACGGCACAGCGCGCCGCGGCAATAGAGGGACACAGGCAGGCACATGGCCGGAACCCCTGCCTTACCCCCGTGCCCGCCCCCTGTGCCCCGTGCCGCCCACCTGGGTGGAGATGATGATTGGGATGGCGCAGCTGAGCTCCCCGCTCTCCACCCGGATCAGCAGGTCGTACAGGCAGTGGTCCAGCTTGCTGCAGGGAGCGTGGGCAGCTCGCACATGCATGCACATGGGTGGGTGTGCGGTCGGGGGAGAGGCGCGGCGGACCGTGTGACTCGAGCGGGGCGCAGGGGCAGCGGCAGCCGCCGGCGCCGGCGCGGCCTCGCCGGCCCGGGGAGGGTTCCGTGCGGCCCCCTGCCCGGCCAGCAGCCCACCTGACCAGCAGCGCGGCGCGCTTCTGCTTGGCGGCCAGGCTGACGCGCCAGTCCATGTCGTACTTTCTAGCCACCTCGGCGATGCCGCGCTCCAGGATGGCGGTGTTGCCGGGCCCCACCAGCAGGTCGCTGTAGTCAAACACCACACGCTGCAGGTGCGGGGCAAGGCGAGGCGCGAGGCAGGGCTGGCACACAGAGGCAGCGGGCCCGGGCCGGCAGCTGCCGCGGCGGGCGAGACGCCGGCGCCGACCCCGCCCGCTCTCGCTGCCAGCTGGCTGCCACCCCCACACCACACACACCCAAACACGCACACACCCACCACACACACACCACACACACACCACACACACACGCACCTGGTAAAACATATCTGCCTCCACGTCGCTGTACTGGTCCGAGGACAGGATGTTGCAGCCAAAGCCGAAGAGCAGCTGCGGCGGGGGCGGAGCGAGGGCCGCGGCGGCGGAGTGTGGTGGGCGCGCGGGGCGGCGGGTGGTGCGGGGTGGGCGGGCAGCGGGAGCACCAGCAGCACGTGCACGCGGCTGGCTGCACGTGCACGTTGGGGCCGTGCGGCACAGGCCAGAGGGCGCTGCCTCACGCCAGCCAGCTTCTTCTAATCCCGGGTCTCTGCCAGCCAGCTCACCTGCGCCACGCTGGCCACCACGCCCTTTGAGTCTGGGCACTTGACTAGCAGCGTGCCGGTGAGGCTGCCGCGTGCGGCATCCTCGTCGGAGCCCGAGGAGTTGCGACTGCTGGTGGCGGGGTCGTCGTGGGCTGCCGCTGCTGTGGCCGTGGCCACTGCCGCCGCCGCCTGCCGGTCGGCCACTGCGCCGGCGCCGTTGCCCTCCAGCTCTGCCCCGACCCGCAGAGCCCGCCGCCGTTGCCGCCGCTCTGACCAGCTAGCGAGGCGATGCCGCTGCGGGAGCAGGCGGCTGCTGGGGTTGCGGGCCGAGAGGGACCGACACGGCTGGCAACGCTGCAGGCTCAAGTTGCTGCAGGCCTGCATGGTGCAGCTGCGTGAGAGCCTGATTTCAGGGGCTGGATGAGACGAGGGGCAAGCGTTGTAATATGCCCGTGACGGCTTTGCAAGCACCGCGTTTCGATGTGGCCCAATTGGCGCCTTGCAGCTGCCTAGACACGCAGCGATATAGGAGAGGAGGCTGGCATGCGTGAGGGGCGAGATGATGCAAGTGGTTCATCCCCGCCGCCACCTTGGCCCAACCTGCCGGACACATCACAAATGTGCTTCCCCTTGTAGCAATCATACTCGATGGGCTGTTGTTCGCCGAAAGGATCGTGGCGAGGACGGTGCCACGATTCCAGCCGCCGCCGCCCACGCCACCGCCCCTGCAGCCAACCGAGCTCCAGGTGGCAGCTGTGCTGATCCATTCAATGCTGGCCACTGTTGAGATGCCCAGTTATCATGCAGGCCTCAAAGGAATGAACTTGAGCATGCAGCATGCCGCCTCCCCGCATTCAACGCAAGTTGCTGCCGCCCGGACACAAGTGTGACCGCCCCTCATTCAGCATGGCAGCCAGAGGCAAGGGCTACAGCTACTGGTCCGTGAATGTGGCTGCATTTAGGTTGCACGCCTCATTATGGGAGCACGATGGCTACATCCACCGCTGCCGTACGTAGCCGTGGCAGCCCCGCTGGCGGCTGGCTGGCGGCTGACGGCGGCACCACCTGCAAAGAGCGCTCAGAGTCCTGGCGGCCAATTCACCGCATTGTCTCAAGCGTCAATTACTTCCTCAGCCCCTCAGCGACTCACGTAGCGCCGTTCGACGCTAAATACGCCCTTGCACTCCACGCCGCAGCCCAGCTCGCAGACAGCCTGATCGCCTGAGCCTGCCGAAAGCCCTGAAGCAGAGCATGGACGCCCAGGCACTCGCATCCTTTGAAGCCCGGGCGGCCCAGGCGGAGCAGCGGCTTGCGGCCCTTGAGAGCAAATTGGCTGCAGGCAAGTGGCCCGGACCAGAGGCCCAATGGCCGCCGCCCGCTCCTGCTGCAGCCCCTCGCGCCGCTGCCGCTCCCGCCCTGCATCCCGGTCGTGCCGCTGCCGCTCCCGCCTGCTGCTGGCCCCCAGCCCCACTCCCATGCTTGACCCCTCCTCGCGCAGGCGGCAGCGGCGGCGGCGGCGCGGTGGACACCTTGCGGTATGTTGCAGAGCTGCAGTCGCTGCGCACCGTACTGCTGGCGGCCAAGGCGGAGCAGGAGGCGCTCGAGAAGCGGGTCGGCGAGGTCAGGCAGCCCGGCAGCTGCCGCCCCGCCAACGTGGCTCGCTGCCCATGAGCTGGTGTTGGAGCGCGGGGTGCTTGCCGCAGTGTGGCTGTTGCGGTTGGGCTGCCAGGAGCGGGTATGCGTGGCGCCGTGGAGAGAGGCCCTGTCGCCGCCGCTGTATAGCAACGTGCCGCCCGCCACCCGACTTGATGGCGGTCCCCGTCTGCCCGAGGCAACCGTGCCTGCCTGCCTGCCCCTGTGCGCGTGTGTGTGCAGCTGGAAGGCGAGAACGGCAAGCTCAAGTACCAGTGCCTGCGCCTGAAGCGGGCGGTGGAGGAGGGCGACGAGAAGCTCGCGGCGCTGCAGAAGGCGTGACGGCGGCGGGTTGGGGTGCGCCCGCATTCGAACGGGCCCGCTGGCGTGCTCGGCTCTCCGTTTCCTTTGGCTTTTGATTCATTTGTTCCAGCACTGACACGCAACAGATTCAACAGTGGGACGTGGCAAGGTGGCGAGGGGCGGTACGCTGAAGCCTGTACAAGAAAAGCCGCAGGCCACACCGGGTGGGCTGGCAGCAGGAAAAAATGGAGGGTGCAAAATCTTATGATTCATCCCAGCATCGCAGAAACCAGACAGCAGAACCAATAGATGAAGAAATTTGGGGATGGCAGCTTGGTGGGCTTGGGGTTGCACGCGTGGCCACGATTCCACTGATGCCGGTCTGTGGCCATCCCATGCCGCACCAGCAGCGGCAGAAGCAGCGGCGCCAGCGGCTCGGCGCCGCCGCGGCCGGCTTGCCGGGCCCGCGCGTCGCTCAGCCGCGCGCAGCCGCCGCCGCCTTGAGCTCGCGGTACATGGCGTCGATCTCGGTCTGGAAGCGCTGCTGCAGCTGCGGGCGCTTGAGCTTCATGCTGGGGGTCATGAGGTCGTTCTCGATGCTGCGGGCGCAGGGGCAAGGCAGCAGGAGGGCGGCACATGGGTGCGCTGGGCCTGGGCCCGCAGGCAGGCACAGGGCCGGGCGAGCAGCCAGCGCCAAGCGCACCAGCTTTTTGCTGCCCTGCCCGCTGGCTGCCACCCGCCACCCAGCCACCGCCACCGACACCCGCACCCGCAAGCGCGCCCCACCCACCTGAAGTGCTCCTCCACCAGGTGCACACCCCTGATGGCCTCAAAGCCCTTGAGCTTCTTGGCCTTGCCCGTGGCAGACAGCTCCTGCGCGCGGCACGCAGCGCAGCGTGGCCGCTCACCCGCGGACAAGCACCACAAGGCAGCAGACGGGCGCGCGGGCGGACACGCGCGCGCGGGCAGGCAGCAGCGGCGGCGGCAGCAGGGCGGCTTTCGGCAGGCGGGCCTCCAGGGCCCATGGGCGCCGGGTGCCGCCCTGGAGGGCATGTGAGGGCAGGCGGGTGCGCCCCGGCGCCGCAGCTCACCGCCAACATCGCCTTCTTGGCCTCCTGGCTGCCCAGGCCTGGGTGCTGGTCCACAAACTGCTTCTTGGGCACCACCACCGCCACCAGGGAGCTCTCCAGCGAGCTGCCGTACACCCAGATCTGCGCTGGATGGGGGGCCGGCGGCGACGCACGGATGGGGCAGCGATAATCACAGCAGAGGAACGTGCTGCGGCGGCGGGCCGATGCGCAGGCAGGGGGGCGGCCGCCCAGCGCGCGCTTGCCTGCTCCACCAGCTGGCTGCTGGAGTACTGCTGCTCCAGGAACTCGACGGCGATGTACTCGCCTGCAGTACAGCGGTACCGCACAGTATGGCATGATGCGGGAGCAGCTAGCGAGAGGCAGGCGCACAGGCGCCATCAGGCGGCGCCGAGGGCGCAGCAACCACGCTCGCGCCCACACCCACCCACCACACACGCAGGCAAACACACGAGCCGCCCGGCTGCCTGCCCAGCCCAGCCCCCTCACCCTGAGCCAGCTTGAAGATGTTCTTCTTTCGGTCGATGATCTTGAGGCACCCCTGCTCATTCAGCATGCCAATGTCGCCTGCAGGGCAAGGGGTGGGCGGGAGGTGGGCAGGAGGTGGGCGGCAGAGCGGCGGGCAGGAGCGGGTGTGCGGGCTGGCATCGGCACCAGCAGGCCCCAGGCGGGGCGCCTGCGCGGAGTGAAGCTGAGAAGTGCGGCGCAGGCCAGCCTCTGCCGCCAGGCCATGCAGCAGAGCGGCCTCCTGCGAACGGCACCCAGCCATCCCACCCGCCACCCACCAGTGTGGAAGAAGCCGTCTGCGTCAAACTCGCCCTTGGTCTTCTCGGGGTCCTGCACACAGATAGCAGGCATGGCGGGGCAGGGCACGGCGAAAGGATGGGCAGCGCAGGGCGGGCGCAGCGGCCTGGCAACAGTGCCGGCACCACTGAGCCGGCAGTTGGCGCCGGCAGCAGCACGAGCCACAGCTCGCCCGCCCGCCCGCCAACCCCTCACCCGCCCCACCCATCCATCTGCCTCCCTGCCTGCCTCCCTCCCGCCCAACCCCCAACAGCACTTGCCTTGTAGTAGCCTGCAAACACCATGGGGCCTCGGATGCACACCTCCCCCTTGGGCGGCCTGCCGTGGGCGTCGTACTTGAGCTCCGGCACGCTTTCCAGCCGGAACTCGGTGGCGCACAGCGGGGGGCCCACTGCAGGCAGGGGGGGAGTGTGTGTGTGTGTGTGTGTGTGTGTGTGTGTGTGTGTGTGTCGGCGGCGGCTGCTTGAGTGGCGGTGCTGTGTGGTGGTGAATATGAGTGGTGGTGGCTGCTGCTGCGTGCATGAGGGGCGGTGGCGGCGGTGCTGGCTGCTGCGCTGCCCACGCGCCTGTGTAGGCCATGGTGGGTGTGGGCAGCATGATGAAGGACGCGGCGGTCGTCTCGGTCAGGCCATACCCCTGCATGCACAGGCAGGCGGGCGGGGGGGGCGGCGGGCGTGAGTTAAGCTTCGCGGGCAAGGGCCCGCTCGGAAGCTGCAGCGCACAGATCTGCGGCTGCTGGGCTTGCCCCGCGCTGCCCCGCGCCGTGCACGGGGGCGCCTGCTCGCCTGCAGCAGTGGCGCCATGCAAACGTTGCAGAAGTCTTCCACGTGCGGCGCCAGCGGCGCGCCGCCGCTCACGATGAACCGCACCCTGCATGGGCGGCGGTGGGGAGCGCGTGTGGGGAGAAGGCTGGCGGCGGAAGGAGTGCTGCCCGGCAGGCTGGGCGCGTGCTGCGGCCGGCGCCGGGCGCACTGGCAGGCAGGCTGCCACCGCGCCGCCACCGGCAGCAAGAAAGGGCGGCGCAGGTAGGTCGGGGCCCTCACCTGCCGCCCAGCGCCTGCTTCACCTTCCCAAACACCACGCTGTCAACCACAGCGCCCGCCACGCTGCGGGGGCGGCCGGCGTGGGGGCAGGGTCGGGGCGGGGGCAGGGCCAAAAGGGCAGCGGCATGCGTGCAGGCCGCGCAGCGGCAGAGGCAGGCAGGCGGGCTGGCAACGCAGCCCGTTGCCCGCCACCCAGCCCTCCTGCCGCAGCAGCGGCAGCCGGCGCTCACGCAAAGGGCGCCCCCCGCTTCAGCAGCCACAGCTTGTAGTTGTAGGCTGCGTTGAACAGCGCCTGGGATATGCCCCCCGCCTTCTTCAGCTTGGCCCGCACTGCAGGGCACGGGTGGGTGTGCAGCCGGGAGCGCTTGGGGGTTGGGGGTGTCAATCGGGAGGTGGAGGGAGGTGGAGGGCCACGGAGCGGGGGGTGTGTGGTGAGGTGAACACCTCGGCGGGCAGGTCCTGCCAGGGGGCCAAGCCACCACTCCCTGCCCTTTGTCCCCCCAGCGCCACGCCGTGCGCGCCGCCCAGCCAGGCGCCAGGCAGGTCTGCCGCCCGCTTACCTCCGTCCTCCACGCGCTCGATGATGCGCGGCACCGCAATGAACAGCGTGGGGCGCAGCGCCGCCACGTCATCCATCAGCAGCTTCACGTTGCCCTGCCCGCCAGGGCAGGGTGGGGCGGCGGGAAGGCAGGAGGGGTGAGGCAGCAGGGAGGAGGAAGGCAGGCGCAGGCAGGGCAGAGCGGCTACGCACGCGGCAGGCACAGAAGGGCATGGGGAGGCGCAGACGGGATGAGGAGCCGAGGCAGCGGCCGGGGCGGCTGCGCCCCGCCGCACAGCGGCCCTCCCCACCCTGCTCCCCCCTACCGCCCCTGCTTCCAGCCACTCATCCATGGGCGCAGGCAGGCAGCCACCCACCCGCCAGTATCCGATGTGCGCGCCAACACACAGCGCCAGCTCCTCCAGTATCCGGTCGAACGAGTGCGCCAGCGGCAGGAAGGACAGCATGCCGTCCTCGTTGCTGAAGGAGATGCCCGCCTGCAGCGCAGCGCCAGCGGAGGCTGAGGTCGGGGGATAGATGAGAGGCAGGAGCACCAAAGGCGGCCTGGCCGCGGGGGTGGTGACGCGAGACGGGGAGCAGGCGCGGGGCGGGAGGCTCGCGCCTGGCCCCCTTCCGCCACTTCCCCCGCGCACAGGACATCACAGGGTCCAGCAGGCAGGGCAGCGCGGGCCCCCTACCTGCTTCAGCATCGTGCGCGCCCCCGCCACCCCTGTCACATAGTTCCTGTGCGTGCTCATCACACCCTTTGGGGTGCCTGTGGTGCCACTGCGGGGCGGCAGGTGGGGCGGGGGGCAGGTCGGTGCGGCGATGCAGGGCAGGCGGCGGGGCCGTCTGTGGCCTCGCCAGCTGCGAAGCGGCCTGCGCCGCGGCCCGCGCCACCCAGCAGCACGCCCGTTAACACGCCCAGATACTCACACACACCAAAGCAGGCACCCCGGCCACCCACGCAGCCAGTCGCACCCTCACCAAAGAATACGCACCCGTCCACTCCCACACACCACACACCACACCCTCACCTGGTGTACATGATGCAGCAGATGTCGTCTGGCTTGGGCGGCACCGCCTCCACCTCAGCCCCCTCGCCGCCCGCCACAAAGTCGGCAAAGGACTGCGCCGAGATGCCCGCGCCCCTGATCACCTCCAGCGCCGCCTCGTCACCCGAGCCCACATAGATGACTGCAGGCCGGGGGCGGCGGCGCGGGGTGGAGCGGCTGGGGCGGGCAAGCCAGCAAGCTGGGGCTGTGCAGCCGGCAGCAAACGCGGTGCAGCCGCACACGCACATAGTGCCTACCGGTGCCCTTCCAGCCTGGGGGGCCTGCCGAAGCCCTGCCCCGGCCGCTGCCCCTCCCTGTGCGGCGCGGACGCGCAGCCGGCCCGCCCCCAACCGCCCACGCAGGCACACACCCGTGCCGACGTGCTGCTTGACCTTGTCTGCCGCCTTGGAGAAGTTGGCCAGGTTGGGTGTGTCCACCAGCGCCATGCAAATCTCTGGGGGTGTTGGGGGGTGGGGGGGGGGAGGGGGTGGGCTGAGGGGCGGGGGGGGGCGGCGAGGGGGGCAGCGGGGGGTGAGTTGGTGGGTGTGCGAGCTTGTGTCTGTTGCGTGCGTGCGTGTGTTGGTGGTGGTGTGGGTGTGGGTGCGTGCGGCGGCAGGCAACAGTGGCGCCGCCCGTGCCGGTCATGGGCAATTCTTGTGCCTGCGGGGAAAGACAAGGCTGCCCCTCACCCGAGTGGTTGACGATGTACTCCACAGCAGACTCGCCCAGGGAGTCGTAGATGGGGACTGGCAGGCAGGGGGGCGGGGGCAGGTGTGGGGGAAGTTGTTGCGGCTGGATGAGTCGGGGGCGGAGCGGTGCGGGATGCTGCGCGGCCTGCGGCGCGCAGGCCGTGGCGGGGCCCGGCGCCCCAGAAGCTCTGCCAGCCCGGCTCGTTCTCACCGATGGTACCGCTCAGCACGTCGCACGCCCGGATGGCCAGCATCCACTCCACATTGTTGGCTGCAGGCATGCGATCAGGCGGCAGCTAGGCGTCGCAGCTTTCGCACCAGCAGCGCGGCGGCGCAGGGGCGAGTGCCGGGCCAGTCAGCCAGCCAGGGAGGTCGGTGCAAGCAGCATCCAGCCGCTTGTGAAGCTGCCGCAGCACAGGGCAACCACAGGGGGGCACAGAAGTGCGGTGGGGCTGCGTCCCACCTGAGTAGATGCCCAACTTGTCCTTGGGCTTGAAGCCGGCCTTGCTGAGCGCCGCAGCCAGCTGCACAGCCCGCTCTGCAGCAGCCGGTGATGCCAGGGCGGGTGCGTCGCAGCTGTGGGCTCCACGAGTGTGCAACAAGCCAGCCTGCAAGCCAGCCAGCGGCTCCAGCTCGCACCTTGCGTCTCCTTGTAAGTGATGAACTGGTAAGGGCCGGCAGTGCCGTCCTCTGCCACCGGGCGCCAGCCCAGGCACCTGCAGCACGTGCGGCAGCCGGCGCGGAAGCTGGCGCAGCCCGTGGGCGAGGGGGCAGGGCGGGGGCCACACCCACCGCCCTCCTTCCAGACAGCCCACATGAACCAGAGGCTCCGCATTCTCCTCCCCACCGCGGATAGGCTCTCACAAGGCAAGCCGTGGTGGCGGCGGCGGCCAGCTTGGCGATGGCGCCCTCACCTGTTGCCGCCATACAGCTCCACCGACTTGTTGAACAGCTCATACAGCGTGCTGCAGCCACTGTAAGTCTCGGGCAGCGCCTCCGCCGAGGCCTTGTTTCTGTAGACGCCAGACACCGCTGGCTGGCCCTCTGCGGCCGGCTTGGCGGGCGCAACTTGCACCGTGATGGACCCGATGGCCGTCATTGCCGCTGCCAGGCCGCGATCGAGCAAGTTGCGATGAGGTTACGTGTGACGTCGATACCCAACCCAGACGCGTGATCACCCCCAGCGGCGGTTTAAAAAAGCTGCTGCTGCAATTTGTTTTGTGCCGAGGTCGGGTTGGCGCCCGGTTTTGGGCCCTGGCGTGCTGCGCTGCGCGCTGTGTGGCGGGCAGGCAGGGGCAGGCAAAGCGGCAGCCAACAAGTGCGGGCTGAGGACTGCCTTGCCTCTCTCTGCAGTGCCACTTGGTTGGGCCCTGATTTGGCTGGGACCTGATTTGTGTGTCGCACTGGGCACGGCCTCCAAGCCGGCCACCGCCCTCTCCACTCCTTTGCCGTCGCCAAGCCCACCACCAGAAAAGCAGGGCCAGCGGCACGATCATATAGAACAGGCAAAGGCGCAGGCAGTGCCGATCGTTTTCCCATAGCAAGAGGCGGTGTTGAACAACACCAGTTTGTTTGTTTTTGGTTTGTAGGGTTGAGAAGTCGGGACAGCGTGCACACCTAAAACTCCTGAGAGACAGAGGCGCCCTTCTTGCCGCTCTTCTTGGGCAGCAGGACAGAGTGGATGTTGGGCAGCACGCCGCCCTCGGCAATGGTCACGCCAGCCAGCAGCTTGCTCAGCTCCTCGTCATTGCGCACCGCCAGCTGGATGTGGCGAGGAATGATGCGGGTCTTCTTGTTGTCGCGGGCAGCGTTGCCGGCCAGCTCTAGCACCTCGGCCGCCAGGTACTCCAGCACGGCAGCCAGGTACACGGGGGCGCCGGCACCGATGCGCTCGGCATACCGGCCCTTCTTCAGGTAGCGGGCGATGCGGCCCACGGGGAACTGCAGCAGGGCCAGGGGGTCAGATGGTGGAGGGAGGCAGGGAGCTGACCATGGACTTTGCGGCTGTTGTTAACCATCACCAGCGGCGGGCGCAGCCATCGCCGCACGGGCGGTGGCTGGCCCTTCCTGGGCTCTGCAGCTCTACACACATCCATTGCGTTGTCCCCACACACCTGCAGGCCCGCCTTGGAGCTCTTGCTCACGGCCTTCTTGCCGGAGGTCTTGCCCTTGCCGCGTCCAGACATTTTGGCGTGCGTGGTTGTGTGGGCTGGTGAAGCCGAGGTTAGAATGAATGCGGGGCGTGGCCCTGAGCGATGCGTTTTGTGGCTGCACCCGTGGGTCTCCCTCTGCCAGCAGGGCCCCGGCCCCCGGATTTCAGGTGGCCGACCCAACCCGCGACTTGTAGCCCCTCAGACCATCAGGTATAGGTGCTAGGGCAAGATGTGGGTGCTGGTGGAGCCATTTGGGGCTGGTTGATGCCCCCCATGCGGTGGTGGGGTGATGGGCAAGCCTTCGGGTTACCCAGGTGACACCGCAGGATTCAGATAGGCTACGGCGATGCTTTGAGACCATCATGGACGGGCTTGGGGTCCAGCCATGCAATGGCGGCGGCGGCGGCGGCGGCGGCAGCTTGTGCAGCCCGCCGACAGGCCGCTGTCTGGAAGGCAGCAGCACTACAGCAGATCAGTCTGTGTGCGAACCAACTATGCTGCCCGAGACGCTGCTAATGTGCGTGCCACTTGGAATGCTGGCCAGCCAATGCATTTGGGAGCGCCGGGGGTACACGCACGCCGCCGCCCAGCCACAAACCAGCGCAGAGCTGTGCCCAGGCATGACGCAGCCGGTGGCAGCAAAAGTTCTCTCTGAGAGGTGATGCGCTGGCTGTGCAAGGAACTGCCGCACTGCCGGCAGGCGGTTATCAGAACTGTCTGCAGCTGCCGCAATGCGCACCTTCCCCCCCTCCGGTGATGCATGCTGGGAGCGCTGGGCAACTTTAGCTCCCGCCCTAATGGGAGCCATGCCGCACGCTGTTCCTACCATCGCCTGCTGAAGATAATTGAAGCAACGGGGCAATGAACAGCCGGTGCAGAGGCTTTGCGGCAAGCGCTACTAGAGCCCTGGGCGTCCTGGTGTTGCTGCAGCTTTTCTGTCCAGCGCATTGCTCACGACAACAACTCCAGACCTGGCCCTCGGACCAGGATCAGTCGATAGAGGCGAAAGTTGCCCGGCTGGCCATCAGCCACGGCACCGAGCTGGTACGCAAGGCAGCCCTGTTAATGCTGTTGTTCGCCCGTTGTGCAAGCAGGCGGATGCCCTCGAGGGCGCAGGCCTCGGTGGTAGTGGGAGTATTGCCCATGTGGGAGTATCGCCGCTCCCGCCCCCCAGCCGCCACCGATCACACCCCTGCCCGCAGAATGGCTTCCAGATTGGGCAGGAGTGCCCCACCTGCCTGCGCGGCGTGATTGCCACCAGGGACATTGCGGAAGGCGAGACCATCCTGTCGGTGCCTCTGTCCCTGGCGGTGCGCTTCAGGTGCGCCTGCTGCCCTCCATCCCAGCCCCGCCGGCGGCCGTCAGCTGCCAGCCTCTGTGCTTTGGGCATGCACACAGCGCGGCCCGCGCCGCTGCTGCGCCCCGGCCGCCGCCGCGCAGGGACGAAAATCCGTCGGTCCCGGCGCAGCATGCCTACGACTTGCTGGACCGCATGCACAACGACCCCTCCTTCAACGCCTCCTGGGCCCTCTTCTGGGAGTCGCACCCTGGCCCCGACGAGGTGTTCACTCCAGAGGTGCGCTGAGAGCGCTAGGGGCTGGTGGAGCAGGGGCGGAGGAGCTGGTGGGCTGGAGGTCGGTGCAGGGTGGGCAGCGACAACAGCGGGTTTTTTCCTGCTGCGCTGTGGTGCTGAAATGCTGCCCCCGTGCTCACCTCTCCGCCACCTGGTGCCGCCCAAGCAGATATATACAGATGAGCAGCTGGAGATGCTGCAGACGCCAGAGCTGGTGGGGTGGTGCTGCCGCAGCCTGCCACCCAGCCAGCCAGCCAGCGACTGCACCTGCCTGCCCGCCCCTTGCGGGCCCGTGCCCGCCAGCCTCCCGCCCCTCCCTTTGGCACGGCTGGCACCCTTGCGGCTTGCCAATGGTATTTGACTGCCTGCCCCTCGCCTTGCCACCTGCCTCGCAGGAGGATCTGGCCCGGTATCAGCGCGACCAGGCCGAGGGGGTGTATGCCGGGGGGCACGAGGAGCTGCCGCCCTTCAACCAGACGGTGCCAGACGACAAGGTCGGCCTGCAAACCTTCAAGTACGTGGCGTCACTGGTGAGTGAGGGCTGGGCGGCGCATGGCTGCGGGCTTGGAAGGCAGCTGCTCGCCCGCATGCGTTCCAGGATGACCACGCCCCTCTGAGGCCCAACCTCCCGCCCGTCCTCCCCCGTCCCAAACCCCTTGCCCCTCCCTCCCTTGCCCCCAGCTCTGTAGCCGCATGTTTGGTCTGCCACGCGACGGCAACGACGAGCCGCTCATCGCCCACCTTTTGCCCGTGGCCGACTTTTTCAACCACAACGACGACCCCAGCGCCTGGCGCACAAGTGAGCGGGGCGAGGCAGAGGGCAGAGCGCAGGTGCAGGGACCCGGGGGCGCATCAGGAATTCCTCGAGCTCCGCTCCCGCCACCCACCACCGCCGCCCGCCGTCCTGCGTGCTGCAGGCAACGACACGTGGATGACGGTGCATGCCATCAAGCCCATCAAGGCGGGCGAGGCCATCACCTTCAACTACTTCTCAGACGTCATCCACCGCCCAGACATGTCCCTCTTCTTCTTCGGTGCGCCGCCGGCCGCGGACCGCCGGCAGCGCTCGCGCCGCACCCCAGGCGGGCACATGTGTGCGCCTGGCTGGCTGGCCAGCAGGCAGGCAGTCGCTTGCTAGCTGTAGCTCTCTTCCTCCCAAACCCCAGCCTGCCCTGGGTGTGTGTGTGCGTGTGAGTGGCGCAGGCTTTGTGGAGCCCAAGGAGCCGCCGCTGATGGCGTCTGTGGACCTGCCCACATTCGATGAGGACAAGGCCTACGCCGAGACGCCCCCCGACGACTCGATGTATGACGGTGAGACGGGAGCGATAGGAGGCGCACGAGCCAGCCCTGCGCCGAGGCACACAGCTGCTGCGCCGGCTGGAGGCCCTCCGACAGTGTGTCTTGCAAAGAGGGGCCTCCAGCTGCTGCCCTGGATGGGCAGCGCCGGGCGGGCGGCTGTCTGCTGCGGTGCTGCCCCGGCTGCCCGCCACCGCTGTGCTCCATGGTGACCGCCATGATGTGACCTCACATCACCCTGCTGCTGTGCTGCCTGCAGACCCCAGCAGCAAGTATGTGACGCAGGAGGAGTATGAGCGGTTACAGAAGCGGCTGGCGGCGGCAGCCACCACCCTGGAGCAGGACAAGGCGCTGCTGGGTAGCGGCATGGTCACAGGCGAGCTGAGGCTGCCCACCCGCCTTCACTTCTTCTCCCGTCTCTGCCCGCTTGGCATACCAGCAGCCCATGACTATCAGGAGGTGCGACCAAGCCTCCACCTTCCCTCTGCGTGCAGACTGGCGCATGCGGACCATCCTGCAGTACCGCGTGCAGCGCAAGCGCGCCATGCAGGTCGCCATGGACAAGATTGCGGCGCACCTGGGTTTCCAGCAGGACGGGGCTGAGCATGGCGGCGACAACACTGAACTGTGATGCGGGCATCGCTTGGCATGCTCGCCTCGTCAGATCGTCTTCACACTATTTTCTGCGTCCTGTTGCAGCTACTTGTGCCTTCTTCATGCGGCACACAGTGAAGCCCGCACGCCACAGCCTGGCAGTGGCACCTGCCGCCACCTGCTCACTATTCGCCAGCGACCACCCCCGTGGATGGCTGATGCTGACACTAGCATGAAAACCAACGTTTCACAGCTCTGAATGTGGATACTAGATGCAAAAAGGGTCTGCTAGCACCCACATAGAGGTTCTGCTAGCACCCACCATGGCCGCTGCCGCTCATGCTTCGAGCGCTTTGCCGGCTAAAAAGATGCAGAGTGTTGCCATCGCATTAAGGCCTTCATCCTGCTCCAATTGGTACAGCGAGGCAATGTTCACGCAGTGGTAAGAGAACACAGGGCGATGGGCAGCGGTACCCTCCGTGCAGCAGTCAGCCTGCTGCTGCTGGTCACACTGGCAGCGGCCTGGCCTTCCAAGGATGACACTTCCGTTGAAGGAAGGCTGGCGCTATGGCTGCTGAGCAAGGGCGCCAAGCTGGTGCGCCTTCGCAATTCCCGTAGCTGTTGCCACGCCCGCCTGCAGCGTTGTGCTGGCGCAGATGGCGGCTTGGCCCTGCATGCGTCAATGCAAGGGCCTGACCTGCCCACTGACGCCGCCACCAACTGTACCCGTCCCACCGCCGCCGCCCCACCCAGCCGCACTTGCGTTCATGCCTCCTGACTCTCCCCTTGCCCATACCCCCCATTGCAGACCGGCTTCAAAATCGGGCAGGAGTGTCCCACCTGCCTGCGCGGCGTGATCGCCACCAAAAACTTCGCTCCCAACGAGGTGCGCCGCCCACGCTGGTACCAAAGCGACCGGGTTGCAGCAGCTGGCTGTGCTGCCTGTGGCCATGGCCAGACCCGCCTGCTGCCTAACTGTTGACCTTGGTGCCCGCAGGTGATAATGAAAATCCCATTCAAATCGATGTGAGTGGGGCTGGTTGGCTGGACTGCGCCCCGCCTGCGGCCAGCTCATGCCTGCTGCTGCTGCCTACCTGCGGGCTGCAACCCACCCTGCCCGCGTGCCTGCTGCGTCGCACCTCCCTGCAGGATCCGGTTCAACCAGTCCTCGGCGTATCCCGCTGAGCTGGCGCACGACATGCTGGACCGCATGCACAACGATCCCTCCTTCAACGACACCTTCTCCCTCTTCTGGCAGGCACACCCCGGCCCCGACGAGGTGTTCACTCCGGAGGTGCGCTGAGAGCGCTGGGGGCTGGCGGGGCAGGCATCAGGATGGGCACGACTGGGGATGGGGGATTGGTGCTGGCGGCAAGCGCACGTGCTGTCCTGCCTCACAAGCCTGCGGGATAAGCTGCATGAGCTCCTGGCCCACTCGACCCGCCCGCTGCAGCTGTACACAGATGAGCAGCTGGAGATGCTGCAGACGCCCGAGCTGGTGGGTGCTGCCGCCGCAGCCTACCGGCCTGCGTGTGGAGCGCTGCCATGCCGCAGGGGTGACGCTGCCGCCTGGGTGCGCCGCGCCCAGCTGGGCCGACCCTAAACCCTAGCTCATCTCACCTCGCCTCAGCCGCACTGGGCCAAGCCTGGGGCCTCACCATCGCATCCCCTGCCTGCCGCTGCTCGCTGGCTGCTGCTCGCAGGAGGAGCTGGCGCGCCGGCAGCGGGACGTGACGGAGCAGGTGTTCCTGGGCACCTACGCATCCGACCCGCCCGCCCCTCCCATGGCACAGGTCGCCCCCGCCGTCACGCTGGACACCTTCAAGCACGTGGCAAGCCTGGTGGGTGGCGGGGCGGCCGGACGCTATTCTTGGGCATGTGTACGCCCGCCCCGCCTCCACCCCCCACCACCACCTCCCCGCCTCCCCCCGCCTCCCTCCCCTGCCCTGCAGATCAACAGCCGCAGCTTTGGCTTCTACTGCGACGAGCAGGAGCAGGCGATGTGCACCCACCTGGTGCCGCTGCTGGACCTGGTGAACCATGATGAGGAGGCGAATGCGGAGCGCACCGGGGACGGGCAGGTGGTCACGCTGTCGGCCTCCAGGCACATCAAGAAGGGGCAGGTGTGGCGCGGGGGTTGGACAATGGCCGCCCCCTGGGCAGCCAGGCAGCCCAGGCGTTCTCTGGCCGTCCCCTGGGGAGCGAGGACCTCATAAGTTTGCCGCCTGCCCCCGCGGCCGCCGGCGGCGCAGGAGATCCGCCACAACTACTTCTGGCGCGTCATCCACCGCCCCGACATGTCGCTCCTGTACTTTGGGTTTGTGGCGGACCGCGAGGCGCCGCTGCTGGCGTCGGTGGACCTGCCGGGGTACAGCGAGGCCGACCCCTTCTCCGAGACCGCGCCAGATGACTCCGACTACGACGGTGAGGCCTGCTGAGCGCGCCCGCGCCTCCGCGCTGGCTGCCGCTCCCAACGCCGCGCCCCTGGCACCCAAACCTCGGCTGGCCGCTCATCGCGCGCTGTGCTGCTGCTTTTCTGGTCGCTCGCCCGCGCCGCCGCTGCAGACCCAAAAGGCAAGTACGTGACGCGGAAGGAGCACAAGCGCCTGGCGGCGCGGCTGGCGGCGGCGGCCACCACCCTGGAGCAGGACGAGGCGCTGCTGGGCAGCGGCGCTGTCACAGGCGAGAGGAGGCGGCTGGTGGCCGCGGCCGCCCGCCCTGCCCCTGGTGCTGCCTTGCCGCTCTTGGGGCGGGCGCTGACGACGCCCCTGCCGCCGCTGCCTGCCGCAGACTGGCGGATGCGGACCCTTCTGCAGTACCGCATCGCACGGAAGCGTGCCCTGCGCCTGAACATGGCCAAAATCGCCAAGCACCTGGGGCTGAAGCCCAAGAAGGCGGCTGCGGCGCCGAGCGGCGAGCAGGCGGCAGGCGAGGAAGGCGCAAAGGATGAGCTGTGATCACATCTACACACATGCAATACTTCTTTCATTCGTTCTGTGATCTGGTGACCAGCATTCGTGATTGACAGATGCCTGTAATCAACAACTTGAGAGTCACTGCCTGGGGTGGGTGCCGTGCACGCTCTGGCGAGGCGGTGGCAGCGCCCAGAACGCGCTTCCTCAGCAGCTGGCGTTTTTCTAATCTGTGTGGAATCCATCCATGCTCTGTCGAGAGGGGTAGCGATGGGCTGGGTTAGCAGGGGAGCCCTGCGACGGGCGGTCTTCGTGCTGCTGCTGTTGGCAGCATCCAGGCTTGCGTCAGCCTGGCCTGAAGAGGATGACACATCAATTGAAGCACAACTGGGTCGATGGCTGCTGAGCAAGGGGGCGGAATTGGTGCGCGCTCCCCTTTGGCTGCTGTTGCTGCTGCTTCGTGTTGCGCATGCACCTAAATGCTGTGGGACGCATCGATAGGGTGGTAGGAGAATGCCAAGCTGCCGCCAAGCTGCCGCCCCTGCCGCCTGCCGCTGCCGCCGCCGTGCAGAACGGCGTCGCCGTGGGGCAGGAGTGCCCCACCTGCATGCGCGGCGTGCTGGCCACGAAGTCGTTTGAAGACGATGATGTCATCATGAAGCTTCCCTACTCAGTGATGATCGCGTTCAAGTGAGAGCGCCAGCGCCAGCCTGCCGCAGCTGCGGCAGCTGCTGTCGCTGGCTGGCGGAGCGGCGCACCGCGACCGTGCCGTGCGCCCGCCCGCCCCATGGCCTTGCCAGGGAAGGCTTTGGCTACTCGGCTGAGCTGGCGAGGGATTGGCTGGACCGCATGCACAACGAGCCAGGGTTCAACGAGACGTGGCGGCTCTACTGGGAAGGCCTGCCGACTCCCGGGCATGTGTTCACTCCAGAGGTGCGAGAGCTGCAGGTGCAGCGACAGCCCATCGGCGAGTCCAAGGGGCAGCCCCATGGATGCTGCTGCTACCGCTGGCGGTGGTCAGAGGCTGGCGGGTCAGCGGCGGCAAGTGAGCACTCAGCCCCCTGCCCCCTGCCGCAGCTGTACACAGACCAGCACCTCGACATGCTGCACACGCCCGAGCTGGTGGGGTGCTGCCGGCCGCTGGAATCTCTGCCGCCCGCTGCCTGTTGTCTCATCTACCACGCATGCTGCCAGGGCGCCAGCACACCGCCGCTCACCCTGCTGCTCCCTTGCCCGCTCTTGTCCACTCTGGGTGCAGGAAGATCTGATCAGCAGGCACCGCCAGGTGACTGAGGAGGTCTACAGCGGCGCATGCGAGGGGAGGGCGCCCGCCCCTCCCATGGCACAGCTCGCCCCGGCAGTCAGCCTGGATACCTTCAAGCACGTCGCCGGCCTGGTGGGTGGCGCTGCTGGAGCCGCGCACAGCACAGCAGGGCAGTCCCAGGATCTGGGAGCGCCCAGCAGCTGCTAGTGAGGCCTGCATCCTCTGCCGCGTCATCACTGCCGCACATGGCATTTTGGGCTGCCCCCAAAGCCAAATTTGACCTTGAGCCTGTCCATGCACCCTGCCGCAGATCCACAGCCGGTCGTTTGGGCTGCCCCGGGGCACCAACGGGTCCAGCGTGGGGCACATGATCCCGCTGCTGGATCTGATCAACCACTCGGATGAGCCCAACTCCTGGTGGCACACAGGTGGGTGCCGGTACTGCCAGTACCGTACCGCAGATACTGTTGAGACGGCACAGAACTGGGGGACAGCTGCCATTCACTGGAGGCGCCGCCTGCCCGCGACCGAGGGGGCAGCTGCTACTATCAGCAGGCCTGAGCAGGCCTCCTAAGCCGGGTCCCCAATGCCACAAGGCATTGAAACACATGCCAGCACCTCTGCACCAACACATGCCACCCGTCGGCGCATGCTGCAGATGACTTGGGGCTGGTGCTCAAGGCGAGGGGGCCCATCACGCAGGGACAGGTGCGCGCGCCAGCGCTGCGTGATGTGCAGGGGGGGGGCGGCGCCTCAGGCGGCGAGCTGTGCTGGTGCAGGGAAAGGCTGCAGGCACGCGGGTTTTTTTGTACTGCTGCTGCCCACTGCCGCTGCCGCACCTGTGCAGGAGGTCACTCACGACTACATCACCGATGTCGCCCACCGCCCAGACATGTCCCTCTTCTCCTTTGGTGCGCCCGGCGCCGACTGCGCAGCGCTGTTGCGCAGCCAGCTGTACCCTGGCCAGCATCCCTGGCCTGGCTGGCGACACGGGTGGGGCGCCTGGGCGGGGAAGGGCCTGCTACCTTTCCAATGGAGGGTGGTGGTGGCTGCGCATGCGGCGCAGGCTTTGTGGTGCCCAAGGCGCCGCCGCTGATGGCGGCTGTGGACCTGCCCACATTCGATGAGTACAAGGCCTACGCCGAGACGCCCCCCGACGACTCGATGTATGACGGTGAGGGTTGTGGCCTGAGTGCAGCAGCTGCCTGCCTGCTGGGGGCTGGCAATGTGACCTCCCCGGGGCGGCTGGCAATGTGACGCGCTGCGCACGGCAGCAGGCACGCCTCAGCCCTGCGCATGGCTCGGGGCCGCCTGCGTGTGCAGAGCCCGGCGGCGAGTACGTGACACAGGAGGAGTATGAGCGGCTGGCGGAGCGGCTGGATGCGGCGCCCACCAGCGAGGGCGAGGACCAGATGGTGTTGGACAGCGGCATGGTCACGGGTGGGAGCCGGCGGCGGCGCGGCAGGCGCCTGCGTGGCGCCACGGCCTCCTCTCGCCCGCCGCTGGCCCCCGCCTGCCTGCTGCAGCGCAACGACAGGGCGGGGCTGGTGCCCACCACCACCCACCTCTCTCCCATGTATGTGCGACCAGGCGCGGCGCGGCTGCCAACCTCCGCCCATGCGCGCGCATGCGTGCAGACTGGCGGCTGCAGACCCTGCTGCAGTTCCGCATCGCACGCAAGCGGGCCCTGCGCCTTGCCATGGACAGGATTGCGGAGCACCTGGGCTGGCACCACGAGCACGCAGGCGAGGCGGGCACGCCGCTGGAGCGGCCGCATGCGGAACAGGAGGACGCAGCAGAGGTGGGGGCAAGTGAGGAGGCCGCCAGCGGCGAGCTGTGAGTAGAGCCATCCGCAGAGTGCTGTAAGCAGTAATGTGTGCACTTCTTACCCTCGTACTTTTGACCTACAACACTTTCAGAAGCATTTGGATCCTCAGACCAAATGGCCATGCTCCGACTTCACCTGACCCCTGGGACAAACCGCCCCGACGCTTTCTCTCTGCCCAACTGGGCCCCCTGTGCAACCGCCGAGCGCCGCTAGCCTGCTAGGCCTGTCAGCCCGACACGACTGCGCCGATGGCGCGCCCCGTGTCAATGAGCTCCTGAACAGCTGCCACCACCTGCGCATGCCACAGCAGGTGGGCAGGGCACAGCAGGGTGTTCAGGCTGCGCGCTGCCGGCCCTCCCTCACTGTTGCAAAGTTGCAAAGATGTATAGCGTTTCGCAAAAACGCACCTCCGCTCCGCTCTGCACGGTAGCCAGCGACAGCCTGTTGGCTGCCTCTGCGGCCTCCGCCGCCACATCTGCGGCGCCGCCCACCGCAGCAGCAGTAGCGCTGCTGGCAGCCTCGATGCCCGCTGTGGCCGCCTGCGAAGGCAAGACGATCCCAGATTCAATGGGAAGCACGAGCATGGAGCAGGACAGTGCCTTGGCTGCAATTCTGCGGCCATCTGCCAGCCGCTGTCCTCACCTGAGTGCCCCTGCCAATCGCGTCGTTGACCTCGCGGGCTGGCGTGCCCTCCTGCTCCCCCGCCACAGCGGCCTGTGCGGCCTCTGGAACCGGAGCTGGCGCAGCCTCCGGTGCAGGCGCTGCGTGCAGCCATGGAACACATGGAGCCTCATGAGTTGCAGCTGCAACAGCGTCCTGCCGATCACCTTGGCTGTCCTGCTCCAGCCTCTAACCCTCTCACCCACTCCACCGCCAGGGCAGCGCACCTTCAGCCAGGTCAGCAAGCAGGCCATGGCGCCTGCCCCTGCCGGGCGCCAGCTGCGCCTGCAGGCCAGCAGAGGCGGCCTGCAGGACGGCGCCGGCCGCCTGCGGTGCGCCGGCGCCCGCCAGGATGCCAGCCTCCACCGCCGCGCTGCCCACAGCAGACGCCTGGCCGGCCAGGTCGCTGCGTGGCAGCAGGGGAATACGCGCAGCAAAGCCACCTCGTGTGATGGCAGCTACTCTTACGCATCTGCCTGCCCGCACGCCCAGCCCCATGATTCCCACCTGGCAATCTGCTCCGCCTCTGCGGCAGGGATGGCGCTTGCGGTCGCCTCCTGCGGGCTGGTGCCCTGCGACGAACCCAGGGGGTGGAAGCTACTGCCAGTAATGACACACGGCTGCCGGGGAACCGGCAGCAGCAGGAGCAGCGGCAGCAGCAGCAGCGCAGGCAGCAACAGCGACGGCGGCAGCAGCGGCGGCGGCCCACCTGCACCTTGTAGCCTTGGCACTCGTCCCTGCCTGGTCCCCTGGAGCAGCCCACCACGGTCCCTGTGAAGTAAGCTGCCGCCTGCAGCAGGCCGCGCCTCCGGGACGCAGCAGCCGCCGCCCCGCCGGGGCTGGCCTGGAGCAGGCGGCGCCTGCCGTCGAAGTCGCCGCCGATGATGGCGGCCGCCCCGGGGACGCTGCCGTACACAGCATCCAGCACGCCCCTGGTCAGGCCCAGCACAAAGGACGGCACAAAGTCGTCTGCAAGGCAGGGCAGGCCGGCGGGAGGCAGGCCAGCAGCTGGCAGGGCAGTCGCTGGCGCAACTCTGCCTCCATTTGGCGGGACCCTGCAGCTGAGCGCCCCCTGTGTGAAGGGCCCGGGCCGCCGCCCTGCCTGCCACGCAGCTGCTCCGCTCCTGGCAGGCAGGGCCGTCACCGTGGTGTTTACCCAGGAAGGCAGGCAGGGGCCCCAGCTGGCGGCCGGCCGAAGCCAGGAAGGAGTAGACCTGCTCTCCCGCGCCCTCGGCGGCCGCCGTCAGCGTGCTGCGGGGAGCAGGCGAGCCGGGCGCTTGGTGTGGGATGCGCATGCGGCGGTACCGCAACACCGCAGCGCTGCAGCGCCTCAGCGCCGCCATCTGCCGTCTGCCTGTCGACGGCACGGGGCCCCGCCGGCGTGCATGGCGCCTGGCCAGCGCGGGCGGCGCGCCACGCGGCGGCCCACCTTGCCAGCGCCTCCGTGGTGGCGTTCAGCGGGCCGCCGATCTCAGTCCAGAAGGCCAGGTCTGCCTGGATGGCTGCCACCTCTGCACAGCAGGGCAGGGCAGGAAAGGCCAGGCAGGCAGGCCGGCAGGCCAGCAGGCAGTCCTCGCATCGCACGGGCGCCGCATGCGCCTGGAGACGGGAGCCGTGGCATGTCTGCGGCGGGGCTGCCGCCGCATGGCTCGCCGGCCTGCTGCCACGCCCCGCCTGCTGCCCGCCTGGCCGCACCTGCCTCGCTGGTGCCAGGCGGGATCAGGGCCTCCACCTCTGCCAGAAGCTCCTCCAGTGGCTGCCGCGTGTCGTTGAGCGCCGCCTCCACCACCGGCGCCAGCTCAGCCGCCAGCTGCTCCAGCGCCGCCGCGCGCTCCCGCTGGCGCCGCGCGTCCCCGCCGCCGGCCGTGGGGGGCAGGAAGGGGGAGAGGGCGGGCTGAAGCAGTGCGGCGTAGAAGGGCACGGGGCTGCCGAGGTCCTGGCCTGGCATCACCGCCTCAGCCTGCTCCCCCGCCGGCGCCGCAGCTGGAGGGCCGGCCTGCCGCAGCGCGCGCCTGCCACCGCCGGCTTCCGCCGCCTGTGCAGGCCTGGCGCGACCGCCGGCAGCCGCGGGCGGGCCGTCACGGCGCGAGGGGCTGGCGCCGCTGCTGGCGCTGGGGCGGAGGCCGGTGGCCAGGAGGGCAAGGGCAAGGAGCAGCAGGGGAGGCCTCATGCTGGGAGGTCGTGCTGGGTGCGGGGAACGAGTGGTGTGGGGCACACAGGTGTGGTCAACCTTGGAGGCACCCAGCAGACTCCCAGAAGATGTGGCAAGCTCCCTCAAATCCTGAGGCCGTGGGTCTCAACTTCGGGTCTTCCCATGAACGGCTCTCTTTCTTCCCCCCACCCAGGCCTGCCGTGCATACGTTTGCGCCAGGACAGACACAGAGGTTCAAGCATCATCATGCCCTGACCGCACCCACCCCATCACTCTGTGTTGTACGCTCTCGACAGCTGCAGGCGGCACGGCTGCGCTGGTCACCGCCCGGCATTTGTGAGCCAGCTTGGAGCACCCCAGGGTAGCGACCTCATGCCAGCCCGCCACCGGCAGGGCTAGGTGGGTTTTCATGCGTGTTGGCAAGACTCTTGGGCTTGTTGTTGGCGACACAACGTAAGCTCCTCTCATTGCAGTACAGAACAGGTATACAGCGGGTGTGGAAGCTGAGCAGGCACCCAAAGCGATACGGGTCAGCTGGGGGCGGCGCCGCGGGCCCCAGGCTGCTCCGCCGCCAGCTGCAGCACAGCTTCCGCCAGCCGCCGGTAGTCTGCCAGCTCGTTGTAGATCTGAGCCGAGATGCGGCACCACAGCCGGCCCGCCGCATAGGCCACGGGCACCTCGATCGCGTGGCGGCTGCGCAGCGCGGCGTGCACGCTGCCCGCCAGCTGGGCGCTGGGCGGGCGGCCGCTGCAAGGCATGCAAAAGCAGCGCCGGCGCTTGCAGCGGGGCGACAGCAGCAAAGGGTTGGGCCGCAGGCGCACCGACCGCAGCCCTGGGAGCGGCTGCGCCTGCCGGCTGGTGGCCGCAACACCTGCACTGTGGAAGCCACCACCCCCCGCTTTGGAAGGAGGCCTTGCCCACACCACACCTGAAGGCCGGCATCTCGACCGCGCACATGCAGGCATCCGGGGCCTGCACCCCCAGCGCCGCCCGCGTGCCCCAGCTCTGCCCGAGCAGCGCCACCGCGTCTCGCAGCAGGGAGCGGCGGTACTGCGCCGCCGCCGGCTCCAGGGCGCGCATCGCGGCGATTGCTGTGGGGCAGGGTGGGAGAGAGGGCGCGGGGGCACGTTGCAGGGGAGGCAAGTGAAGGGTGGCGGCAGCAGCGGCATTCAGGGCGCTGGCCGCGGGGCCGCCGTGCCCACCATGCCTCGCCCACCGCCAACCCCCACACCCCCACAGCTCCGCACCTGTCGGTACCGCCATGATGGCTGTTGCGTCGGCGGTGCCGCTCCACAGGAACTCTCCCTGGAATCCCTGCAGTACGGGCGGAGGCAGTACAAGAGCAGTACATACCTGACGCCTGGCCCACCTGAGCACCGCATGTAGAGCTTGAGCAGCACTTGCCAGCCTCACACCACCACACACCGCGCCCGCCGCCCAGCACGCACCAGCCCATAGCCGTGCGACGTGACCAGAGGCAGCAGGCGGCGGTGGTGCCTCCTGGGCGCCCACAGGAAGGCCGCGCCCTTTGGCGTGCACAGCCACTTGTGCCTGCAGCCCGGGCGGCAGGCCGGTTCGGGCGTTGGCAGCCCGGCGTTCGGGTGTTGGCAGCCCGAGGCAGGGCAGGGTCGAGGCTTGCTGCTTAGGACCGAGGCTTGCTGCTCCATCCTCGATTGTTGCTGCTCCAGCAGGCCGCTGTGGAAGGGGCCCACCCCAGCGCGCGGCTGCGGGCACTCACAGGTTTGAGGTGTAGTAGTCGCAGCCCAGGGCGGCCACACCCAGCGGCACCGCGCCCACCGCGTGCGCGCCATCCACCAGGCTGGCGGCGCCGTGCCGGGCGCACAGCGTGCACAGCGCGGCCGCCGGCAGGTGCACCGGCGCCAGGCTGATGATCTGGTCCAGGATGGCCAGGCGCACCCTGCCGCCGCCTGCGGGGCGAGGCCCGGCGGCGAGGGCAGGCTCGACGGGTGTGGCTAGCGGCGCGCCCGCAGCTGCGGGGGCCTGGCGAGGCGCAGGCAGGGCCTGGACGCGGCGCCCCACCCGCTCTCCCAAGCCCTACCCACTCTCCCACCCACCACTCTCTTCCTCACCCACTCCCCCACCCACTCTCCCACCCACCCACCTACCCACCCACCCGCTTTGAGGGCCGCCTCATAGCGTGCCAGGATGGCCTCAGGCTGAGCCAGCACATCCAGCAGCTCCACCTCCAGCAGAGATGCACGCGCCGCCGACGCCACCCGCGCCGCCGCGCTGCGCACCTGCAGGGGCGGCGGCACGCAGGGACTGGGCTGGAGGGAAACGGCCGAGCATTGGCAGTGCTTCCCCTCGCGGCTGCTGCTGGCCAATGCTGCCCTCTGTCATCGCCCATTGCCCCGAAGCGCGCGCTCAGCTCATCTCACCGCTGGGTACGTGGTGGTGGCGATGAGCAGCAGGTCCCCAGGTCCGAGCTGCATGCAAGGGAGCGCAGTGGAACAGGCAGCAGGGCGGTGGAATGAGCCGCCGCAGCAGCAGCTTGCTGCACCCCGATGCCTGGCAGGTGCCTGTCTTGTCCTCAGCCCATCCAAACAGTGCCTTGCCCGTCCCAAGCATGCCCGTCCACTTCACTAGCGCCCCTCCGTCCCTCCTGGCCCCACCTCTACTGAGCGCAGCACGGCATTCACGGCGGTGGTGGCGTTGGGCACAAACACCAGGTCTGAAGGGTCTGCGCCCACCATCTGCACACAGGCAGCGACGCCTTGGCATTGACAGCCGGCCGGCATGCCTGGCCGGCTCCCCTCTCGCACAGCAGCATGCGGGGCAGGGCTGTGCTCCCCTACAGCGGGCCAGGCTGCGCGCGACGTGTGCCTGTGCACCCACCTCTGCGAGTGCCAGCTGGGCCTGGCGCACAGCCTGCAGCGCCTCTGTCTCCATGAACCGCACCGGCTGCGTCTCCAGCCGCTCCTGCACCGCCGCGGCAGCGGGGGGCGGTCCTAGTGGCTGGCGGGCACGCCTGGCGGCGCTTCAGGAAGCTGGGCCGGCGACACGCCTCAGGGCAGCCTGCCGCGGGGCATCGCAGCGTTAGCAGCATCGGCATGCGCTGGCGGGTGGCCCGGGATGGCAGGGGCGGGCCGGTCGGCAAACAGGCGCACCTGGAAGTACCGCTGTGCCTCCAGCGCGGGACGCAGAACGGCGCCATAGCTCCCGTGGTTCAGGTAGGTGGTTCCTTCTTCCAGCAGAAACAGCGAGCGCCGCACGGCGTGGCCCAGCTGCGCGGCCGCCTCGCCGGCAGCGGCGGCCTCGCGCAGCTGCAGCACCGCCTGCCGCGCCGGCGGCGGCAGCGCAGCGTCAGCGTCGCGGTCCGGAGGGGCGGGGCTGCTGGCGACGGCAGCCGCTTCTGCCAGCCACGGAGGATTCAAGGCCTTGTACTGGGCTGGGTCGATGCAGCGCAGGTAGGGCTCTGCAAGCCAGTCACGAATGAGAGGTGTGGGCGGGAAGGCGACGGGGCGGGCGGCAGTAGGGTTCCGCTTCCGACCGCCGCGCCGATCACCTGGGATGCTGGCGCGACGCCTGCTTCGTGTGTACAACAGCCAAGCGGCCCCGCCGCAAGCGCAGGCCGCTGCGGCCCACGGGACGGCAGAGCCCCAGCCTTTATTTGGCGCTGCAATCATCATCGTTTGCTGTTCTCACAACCATGTACAAGCCGGAAAGGTTGAAGAGCAATGATTGATGACTGAGAGGCCCAGCAGGCACGGCGGGCGGGTGGGAGCGGGCAATGCAGCATTCCACGTGTTGCCCCCTGATGTGGCACCCTCCCGATTGGGCAACCCCCGCCCCCGCTCGCTCCTGGCAGCCCGCGCGGCGCTCCCCTCCCATACGTGAACTGACCCCATAGAGCCATGTTTGAGGGTTGAGCGGGGCGGAGCGGGGCTGCTTGCACACGTGATGGCATGCACGCTTCAACGCTCCCGCTGTCATCTCACCTCTCTAGCGTCAGAAATACAACTCTTACAAGCCAACCAACACGAACAGAGAGACCGAACAACAGAAATGAACAGGAAATATGAAGCCGCCACAGGCGGCAGCACCTTTCAGCGGAGACGGCAAAGCGTACAAGGCACACTTCTTCAATGGTTCTTGCAATTGCCACCCTTACCGGTTATACAGCCACAGTGCCGCCCACACCGCGCACCATTCTTCTTGCAGCTGCAGTTCCGGGTGCAGGCGCCGCGGCAGCCGCAGCGCACGGCTGCCTTGCCGCCGCCGGGCTGCGCCGCCATCGCCACATTGAGAGACACCACAGGCACTCCTCGCTGCGCCGTGCCGCTGAAGGTCAGCTCGCTGGCCAGGCTGGGTGGCGCCTTAGATAGCCTGCTGGCCTGATGCATACCCTCCACCACTCCAGCTCCGCTCCGCAGCCGGTACATGGTCACGCCAAAGGGCCGCTTGATCTCCACCACGCGGCACACGATGCGGTTGCGGCCCAGCTGCTTGCCCACTTTG